AAAAAGTCCAGTACTATTTGTTCAACACTTTGCCCAAACATGCTTTTCCCAAACACCTGCAGGACCCACCTGCTACTCCAAAAACCTACAAAAAGGCGGGGTCCGAAACAGAACCTGGTTTTCAGAGGAGAAACCTGGTTTTCAAAAAGCATCCGGATTTGTACTGGTTTTATACGGTTGTTGTACGGGTTTCAGGAAGCAAAACCAGGTAGTTCAACCGAAAACCTGGTTTTTGACGAGTATTAGGTGCAAACCCCAGTTGCTGCCCACCCCAATTTTTCGTACGTTCTTCGAGTAGCAGGCATTGATACACATTTGTTGCTCGAGCTTTTGGTAAATGCAAACACATGCAAACACACGGTTTGCGGGGCAGAGCTTTGGCTTTGCACACTTTTTGGAAATGCGACCGAGTTGCGGAAAGTTGCGCCCGAGTAGCAGGAAATTGCGCTCGAGTTGCGGGTTTGTTTTCTCTCGAGCACTTCACCAAAGCGGCTAGGCAACCTCACAAAGTGCTCGAATCGGATTTGAGCAGGAAAACAACAGCGCTCGCAAGCCAAAAACACCGTCCGGAGCATGTTTTTGTGTATCAAAGGGTCCTCCAGGCAGGGTTGAAACTATCACTTTGAAGCGGCTGCAAACAAGGGTTGCCTGATGCTTTGCACTTCAATAAATGGCAAACCAAAGCAGGTTGTGTTGGTCACATTCTCTTCTTCAAAACTGGGCGGGGCTAAAAAGGGGTGTTTCAAAATCGGGGAGCCCGCAATCCCCAGAAATGGTGGCTTTCATTGAGGTCTGCCTTCAATCCAGAATGAAAAGAGGGGTACCAACACAACAAATCCACGTCTAACCATCTACCCGCAAAATATCCTACGAAAGCTCAGGTAAAAAGGCGCCCAAGCGCTTGGGGCCGAAACCCTGGGGCTTCCTGTCCAGCAGCTGACTCAGCCAGGAGCTCGCCCACTGCCACTGAGGAAAGCCGCAGGAGATGAGGGCGTTGTAGGTGAAAAGGTTCAGCTTCACCAGCTGACGCCTCTCCCGGGTCCCAACCACTTTTTGGACCTTGGGATATCTTGGGATGGACATCGGGTTGCCTCGCATTTCTTCTTAAGCCAAGGGATTTGATCAGGTTTCGCTGGCTGCTTTTGTTTCCAATGGCTTGGAACATGCCAGGACTACATGCTGTGCATGAGCTTCCCAGAGAAATCACAGAGACCCAAACACCTGGGAAAAATGATGCAACAGTTCCCTCGGAATGCCGACTCAGTCAACCTGCTCAACGTGCCCGGAACTGGCAACTAGAATCACAAATGCCTTGCCGTATGCAAATGGAACACAGTTTCCCGGCGATGGCTTCCTTGCTCAACCAGTTGAGGAACCTGTCCAAGTGCGGCTGCCATTGCTGCCAACCACCCCGGCTCCCCACCGACCCCAGCTGCAGTTGCATTCGGGTACTCTGGGAAACCAACCCAGGGAATCTCTGTCAGTGGTGAGGGCGCCTTTTATCAGGAAGGGGGCGTCCATCAAATCCTTCGTCCTGCCCGAGCTCACTATCGGATCGCGCTCGATCCGAAACTTTGAACATGTCACAATATGACTTCTACATCGCTTGCCTTGTAATCAATACCTCCCCTACTAACAGATATCCCTGTCAAATGCTCGCTTCACCTTGCCATTCCCATTCCCTCCCGGCCATGCAATTATCCTCCTCCCTGGTTGATACCCCAGTTTGGTTTTGGTGAGCTACGCATCTGAGTCTTTAGGCCATTGCCTGCGTGGGAGTTTCAATCAAATGCCCGTGGAGCGTTTGTCCACTTCGCGTGACGGGCAACTCAAAGCTCCTCATCAAGCTTTCCGCGGTATGTGGAATCCTTGTATGGCTTGTCCAAAGGAATCTCGCCAGACTCTTCGATCTTGCACTCCTCCTGCGGTGGGGTTCCGTTCTGCTTCTCGATCTCACGCACAAACTTCATGCCTTCCAGGATTGTGCCGAAGACCACATGCCGCCCATCGAGATGAGGCGTAGCAACCGTGGTGATGAAGAACTGGCTGCCGTTGGTGTCCTTTCCGGCATTGGCCATGGACAGCAGGCCACCCCGCTTGTGCTTCAGCTTGAAGTTCTCGTCCGCGAACTTCTCACCGTAGATGGACTTGCCCCCTGTGCCGTCGCCCTTGGTGAAGTCACCGCCTTGGATCATGAAGTCCTTGATGACGCGGTGGAACTTGGAGCCCTGCTTGGTTGCTGCAACGACCCCCCTGCAAAAAGTTTGCTTCACTTTTTGGGAGTTTAGTGGAAAACCCAACTTGATTTCAACAAACAAGTCAAAGTCTAAACATCCGGTTTAGTGGAAAACTGCTTGAAGTCGAAGTCTAGAGATCCGTTGCCCAATAGCAGTCCAGCCTGGTACCCAAAGCCTTTCTCGCCGGTGCACAGGGCACGGAAGTTCTCCACCGTCTTCGGCACCTTCTTGCCGTAGAGGCCCATGACGATGCGCCCCGCGGGCTTGCCGCCCACGGTGACGTCGAAGTAGACCTTGTTGGTGATCATCGGGCCTTTCACCTTGGGTGCTGTAGATCCCCCAGCAAAAAGTGAAACACTTTTTGCTGGTTGAAAGGAAATACAAAGGGAATCAAAAAAGCTAAAGTCTAAAGATCCGTTGCCCAATAGCGGTAGAGTCACATCCTCCTCGGCCCAGGCCAAGGCCACAAGCGCCCAAAAGGTGAGCCGGTAGAGTGCCGCCATCTTCAAGCCGAAACTCCAGCCAAATGGCTGCCGACGACGAGTATACCCTTTTTAGGTTGGGAAGGGCGAGTATATAAAAGGAAGCCCACGATTTTTTGGGGGGTACCGACCCCTTGAGACAAACACAGATCACCAGTGCTTCCCTAATTTGAATACTGTCCTTTTTCAACGCCCTTCCCGGCCCTTCCCCCCCAGAAAAAAAAAAAAAAAAAAAAAAAAAAACACCCCACCGAACCAACCGCCCCCGCCCCCCAACCCTCCCTCCCTCCCCCCCCCCAACCCTGAAAGCCCGCCTGGCATCTCGGCAAATCTCGGTGGCCCGCCGCCAGTTCCTCACATGCGATCTCTGAAGAAAGAAAGGCGCCTGCGTAGCTTCTCTCAAATTGGTGATTGTCATATTGGCTTCCCTTAAAAAACCAACGTAAAAATCAGCTTCCCTCCGACTTGTGGTGGTTTGGAGGTTGGCTCCTGGGCTCAAATCCCCACAAAACCACTCCAAGCCACCAACTAAGGACTACCTGACTCTGGAGACTCCTCAGAATAGCACCCTTGAAAAGAATTGGGACAGACCCAATTGGATGACTGACCAGGAACCCCATTTTGGATATTGAGCGGGAGAAACACCTCTAACCTTGCAGTACCCGTTCTTTTCGCAATCGCGCAGTCAGTAAAAACATGGTTCTGTTCCCTCAGCTGTTGGTGTCACCCAAAAAAACATATAGACCAAAAAGGTGAAGCTTGTTTGGGTCGGCAGGTGTTGCGGAGAAAACCAGATCGGAAACTCTCACAAATTCACCTGGAACCCAGGAAGGCACCCCCGCAACAGGAGGTTCCTCTACAAATAGTAGTTTTATGGTTCTATGTTCACGTGTAGGCTAGATCCAATGCTTGTTGGATTCCACAACATTGGGGTGTGGCATTTTGTGGTAACCCCTTCTGTCTGGTTAGGGAAGCATCGTAACGTTCTCCGTCAAAGTGGCATGCTTGTGGATGGAAGCGTCAGGCAAGGGGCTTTCCCTTTGCCCAGCAAGCAGCTTAGCAGCTTCTAGCGTGTGGCTTTTGTGGGTATGCCGCCTTGCCCAGAAAAAAAGGCCTGCCCAAGCGTGCGCCAGACCGTGGAGGGTTTAAGCCAAACACGGATGGGTTGCAGGCACACTAAGGCAATCTAGGAACTCTTCACTTCCAACTTATTGTTGTTCATTGCTTCAATGCGTTCACCACAAATCCCCATCAGAATTCCCAAAACATCTACATCTTGCACTGTGAAAGAAGACATTTCTTGCCCAAGCTGCCTCAGCGCAATATTTAAACACTGGAAGTGAGCTAGTCATGAGGCTGGATGAAAATTTCACGCGCCGGCGCTGCATGTTTATGCTATTGTGGCAGGGCATCTGCTCTGCTCAGCCGTAAACATTTCAACAAGAGAAGGGATCCGGCGAAAAGACTCCTGCGGGCGTCTTTGTTTAGGGTGCCATTTGTTGGGTGGTTTTGGAAGACAACTAAAGGCAAACCCACATTGTTTGTGCCCGTTAAGACACACCATCCTTTAAATGGATCAGCCAAGTCCCCGAAAATCGACCCATGCCCCAAACGAGAGCGAGCTACGCGCGAGCAATGGGCATGAGTCCATGTTCAACTGCATCCAGGCTTTGGAGCCTTCAGACAAACGCCGTCATAAAATGCCATAGGTTCCATGATCAAAAGCCCTATGGCCTATGGTCTTTGGTCGCTAGTCGTCCGCAAGGGTGGGCACTTTGACCCAAATGAATCAGGAATCAGAGGGGTGAAAAAGAACTACCTATGGTCATGGTTTCCTTTAGAGGAATCATTACAATCTGAGTTACAATGGTTCCAAGGATCTTGACTGCCAAGTAGATGACCATCCCTGTTAACCCCGAGTACAGGGGTGCTTTGACCCTGGCACATGTATGTCTGAGCATCATCCTTTCAAGCCCACCCTTAGCAAGGCGCGCTTCACATGCATCGACCGCCGAGGTGTAGGTGACCACATTGGGCTGCAAGGCCGTGTGCGTCAGATCTTTCAGCACGCTGCTCGCAAGGCGCCATGAGCGACTGGCACACCTCGAAGCAAAATACACCGAACGAAGCCACAGAGAAAGGGGTTTGTTGAGGCTGATTGAGAGAGAGATTAATTTATAAATTTATAAACTCCGGTTGATTGAGAGAGATGGGGGTGTCCCATTGTGGGGCTTATCAGTTTTAGAGGGAACACCCCTGTAGGACGGGTTCTACTTAGATCCTCGTTCATTACAGCAGAGCAACGTACTCTCTGACACCTCAAATAGGCAAAGTACACATAGCTCCAGCTCGAAAATACCACCAACAGATCCTCTGGTCATTGAACAGCCAGAGCATTGGCAACCACCTTGGTCCAATGAAATCGAGTTTTGCTTGAGCCGGACCTGCAAAAGTGCGGTTCGCTTACTGCACTTCTTCTGACCAGTCGCGGGTGTACAGCTGTTGTCAAATTGCGCTTCGCGTGCGGAAAGTTACGCGTGCTTTTGGACATTCTCCTGACCGGCCCCCGAAAAAAACATACAAAGGATTGTTGGGCGCGGCGCTTTTGTGGGGATCTTTTTGGTCTCTGCGCCGCGGCTTCAGGCTGTGCCTTCGCCACATTTACTCTTCAACAAGCTGCCCCGAAGACCGGATCGAATGCTGCTTTTGCACCATGGGTAAAACGGAAAGCACGTCGTACATTCAAATTGCAACCGGAAAAAGCGACGAAGTGTGCTGAACAACACGCTTTGTGCTGTCAACCTAATAGCAACGACTAACTTGGTCTCAACCCTGCCTGCACTCAGACCGAGACTTGCAGGTGAGTCTAACTGCACATGCCAATGGAAACCAAGTAACTTCACACGTATCCAAGTTCGAAATATCTGCACCGCCTGAACCCATCTGCAAAACTCCTACATCAAAGGCGGGTCACGGTGTTGCTTCTCTTGCAGGGCAATAGGATGATGTTGCACACGCTAAGACAATCTAAGACGAGTATGCCTGAGCCACAGTGAACAGTGCATACGTGTTAGGCTATCAGGCGGATCGTTCTTGACGCAAAGGTATAGACAATGAACACAGTTTGGTGGATGTGGTTGTCAATTAGTCTTAGCCGTGTTTGGCTATTCCAAATCGCCTTGCAATTATCGATCCCTGTCTGCAAATCTGCCCAACAATCCGCATGTTCGCAACATTGCTTCTGTTGGGGGCTGCATGGGTTATTATCGGTATCTCTCAACGTGAGGGGCCAACAAAACGTCTGGTTTCCTTTCATTTCCATTCAAAACCAAGCAGTGACAAAGTGTCCCCAATCGCGCACACACACGCATTGTGTGGGGCTGCATCCATTGCAACCAACCTAGGCCTAGGGCCTCCCTCTCACCAAATCAGGCTCCGGATGAATCATGCTTTACCAAATCAAAACAAAAAATCCTGGGGAGCTTCAGCTGGGTAGGTTGCTGGATCCAACTCATGACTCATCTACCTGCGACCAAATCTGAGAAACTGCTGGCACTTCTCGCATTGCAAGGGCCTCTGCAAAAGCAATGGTCTTCAAAAGTCCTGATTGCGGAAATGAAATAGTAATTGTTCAGTCCCGATGTTCGCCGAAGCACAAACCAATGGCCGTGCTGTAAGAGACCACGGTGTGCTGGAGTGCAGTGAGTTTCATGGACTTGAAATGCTGAAAGGCGCGCGCCCAGCCCTTGTTGTCCATGGCCATGCAAGCGTTGTATGTCACCTGAGCAATCAGTGCCCAAAAGCCCATTGACTTTTGGTTTTACTAAGATGGCTGCAATGGCATAAATATGAGTCTTACTATGGTCCCTATGAATCAAGTACTAGAACTGGCTGGGGGTTTTGGGCGCTGCTCACCTACCTGAGTGTGCCTGGAGTCTCCTTTCGACCCTTCAAACAAGGTACCCCTTGTTTGTTTGCCTTACGAAGGGGAACCACAAAGAAACCACCTTTTTTTCCTGGGGGGGAGGGGGGTGGAGGAGGGCGCACGCTCCCATAGCAGGGTTCTCTGCCGGTTGGGCTTGGGCAAGGTTTCTTGGCGAGTGCACTCGGTAGCCCTTGCCAAAACGCAACCAGAGATGCGGCTTACCCTTCCAGCCTGGGATCTAAAAACGGGTTACCAAGCCCTCAGCGGTCGAAGAAACCGCAGCTGCGCAAGAGCAAATACGCAACTTCTACATTTCAATCTCAAAAACCTGAAGCTGAAATAAGGGATCCGGTAAAGGACCTCGACGCTTCTTTTGATACAGGCAAAGGACCTCGACGCTTCTTGTGATAGCCCGCCCCTGCGCGGCTGCGAAGGCGGACCTGTCCATGTGATGGTGAGAACGCAGCGGGAGGCGCAGGGACTATTGCCAGTGGAGAACCAACATTGCGTATATGCAGTCTACGAGGCCAGAAAGCAAGCGGGTAAATCTTTGACCTGATGCAACACAAGTCAATTTGGACTGGGCCTGGCACTAGAGGGCGCAAGGCCAATAGGCCCGTGACAATTTAGGCCCAGGCTGGTGGCCCCACTCAAGAAAAAGTTTCACCTGCCACGCTTCTTGCGATGGCCCGCCCTGCGACGAAGATGTGACTGACCAGGCGCTATCGACCGTGAGTTGAATACAATTCTCACAAAAAGGTTGTGCTTTTGGAGCGAGTTTCGGCTTCAATCCGAGCGGTGTGACTCAAGGGGGTGGTTGGCTCAGGAGCTGGTTTGGCAGCTCAAGAAGAGTTGTCCCAGCAAGTTACATATTTGTTTGACTCTAAACTGAAAACGAGGATATGCGCTGGCTATACTCCACACTGCAGTGGCTCGTGCGAGGTGAGCTGATCACGCACAGATTCGGCAATTGCTTTCCAAAGTCAAAGCGCCAGCTTGAACTCCTGATATTGGAGGGACAGTGCAGTGTAGATCGAATCAAGTCCTGCCGTGGCTCAGTCGGGTCGATCAACCCAACAGGGCTCCTCGGAACCTGCAATACTGTAGTACCAAGCGCACTGACGGATTTGGTTGCTCATGTCGTCGGATTGCGTCAGGCTTTCTTTCCGACGCATTGAGTCGTGCAGGGGGATGTCATCAGGGTAGTTGAAGGTGCTGGCCATGAGATGGTTGACGAAATTAAGATTTCCCGGCAGCTGATTTGCGAGGCATGACTCTCCTTGTTGCTCTCAATACTTTGCCAGGTGTCCTCCGTACGCCTCGCAGCTAAAGTCATGGTGGACATGCAAGTTGTGGGAGCACCTGTCCATGCCATGAAGATCAAGTCAAAGCCACATAGCTTCTTGAAGACCGATGTCAAAGCATTAGCCAGAAAGCGCCGAAACCCAGAACGACACACGGCATACAACGCCGACGCAAAATGACCTTGCCAGAGTCTTGGCAAGATCGAGTGTCATGGCACATCCGTGCCGGACTACCCCAACAGGGCCGCTACATCAAAGGGCAAACCCTGGGAGGATCACTCATTAGTATCGCAAAGTTGGAAAGAAGCCATCTTGGGCACCATGAGCTTCCTCGAATCGACTCAGCGACCGGTGAGCTTGGACCCCCGCGCTGGTGGGAGGAACTGCCTGCTGCTGCATTGTCTCCAAGAGCTCCAGCGCAGACCGCCACCGCGCAGAGGCAGAGTTGTAGAGGATGGAGGTGCCTGCCAAGGGAAGGGCGAGCTGCCCGGACCCTGGGGGGCAAGGCAAACTGAGGGCGTAACTCTCTTATCATAAGGCCTTATCAATGGCCTATCCTGGACTTATCCAGGGATGGCCCCCCCACAGGCGCCCCCTAAAAGTCCATGGTTTCTTAAAGAGCCTTCAGCGTGGTTGGTAGCTGGGTGGCTTTGGGATGCATTCCCCGCGTCAATCAGGGACAACTAAGAACTAACAGAATGTCACCATATATCTTCGATGCACGCCGTGCTCAGGCTTCATGTGCGCTCCTGGGGACCCAGAGGCCCAGAAGCACACAAAGGGCTCTTAACATAACCAAAAATACACTTAGTCACTTCACCCTGTTGCAACACGCTCTTGCTGAGACACATATAAAAGAGCCGCAACTTAAGACACATATAAACCAAACAACAACCACAACAATGAGCAACGACCCCGTTCGTGAGCACACGTCTCTGAAGAAATGATATCTCCAAATCTGACGCATACCATTTATCTGATGCTTTGATATGTTCGGCCTGTTGTGGCTTGTTTCATCAACGTGTCGTGTGGCTTCTTCTTTGTTGCTCTGATCGACAACCCAGAATCGCATCAACTCTGCTTGATCCCTTTGACGTGCATAGACAACTCAAACGCTTCCCTCTTTGAAAGGTCATTCCAAATTCGTCCCTTTGGAAGGCTGCCCCGTCTCACGAAGCCTTGTTGTTGTTGAAATCAACGCGAGACACCGTTCTCGTTGTGTTTTCGGAGGTGGCGTCGCAGGGCACAGTTTTACTTGGACTTTTGGAAACAAGCGCGAAACTGGGTGCAGCGTGCAACACTGTTACTCATTCCAGGTGGCATGTCGGCAAGCATTATCGCTCAGTGACTCAATGTTGATCATCTTGCGGAAGAAATGATACACACAAACTGCAACTAACACAACATGGCCCCTTGGCTTCTCTATCGATTTGCGTCACATGTGCCTGTCGCTGTCCCATGCAAACAATATATGTACAGCCATTTCAGTATTTTGTACCAGAGGGTATTGGCAGTCTCTCTTTTGTCATTTCTGGGTTGTCCTCAAATCCCCTGCTAAAATCACAACTTCTAGTTGTTCTAACACTAAACCCTAAAGACGCAAACGCCTCACGGGATGGCTGGGTTCCACCAATATATATATATATATATTTATATATATATATATATAGATTTATGTATATATATATATATGTCAGCCGGCACTTCCAGCTTTCTGCGGGGTAAGCGGTGCGGGTGAAGAGTTGGGCCAAACCAGCGTCCGCATTTCAGCTTGCCCCTTGGGAGGTTAGGAGTGGCTTCCCACTTAGGCCAGAACCAGGGCTTCAACTGCCCCAACCAATCCAAACCACCAACTCCCCTCCCAAAAACAACCAACCAACCTGCACGTTGGTTCCTGGAAACCTCCCAAAATCCAACATAGAACCTGGGGAGGACCATGGTCCTAAGGTGTCCCTAGCGCTCTGGTTCCTCTTTTGGCTTTTGGGAGGCTAACCGCTGACTTTTCACCGACGCCTCGCAGTGCCCAAGATCGCAGCTCCTTCAAAAGCGCTGCCGCGCTGGGCCAGCGCAAGCTCGGCGCCACCGACTGCGCGCTGGGGGCCATTTGTCTGCGCCGTAGCTGTCCTCAAAAAAGACAACGCAGCACCGGGGCTTGCTCAGATACGCCAAGGACCCAGAATTAAGGTTCATCTTTGGGAACCTGTCTAAAAATGCACCAAATCAGGGAAACCAAGCAGCACAGAAATATCGTTTGAGTACTGCCAACGTATATTAACTTACCAAAAATAATCGGGTCTCAAGGGACCATCATCAACGTCCCAAAATCAAAGCACAGTCCGATATGCATGTGTCCGTTTTTTAGGAGCCCCCACCCAAAACAAAAGTGTTCTTGTTTGGCTTCCCTTTAAATCCACCAAGAAGTGGTACCCTCAAAAAAAGACGAGCCACCCGTATTTCCGGAGCTCCGTCTTCCCCCCCGGCTCCTAGCAGGTCCCAGGCCACGGGCCAGGCGCTTGGGACGCAGGCGCTGCAGGCGCTATTCACCGCCACCACCGAGGGCCGGACGCGGCGCAGCTCCAGCGAACGCAGCAACTCGGCGGCCCATCGCCAGGAGCTCCGGCAGCTCGTAATCGCCGCGCCGTAGGAAAAGATGCTCCCTTGCACATCCTGGCATGTAAAAATCATGTGTCTCTTGGTTTTGCGGCTGATCTTTTTTAAACATGCACGCCTCACTTCTGGCGCAGTGCCCAGAGATGTGTTTGACTTTTCTTCTCAACTTGAGGGTTAGGTCCTCGCTTGACTCTGGGTAGAAGATGTCACTTGCTACTACAGGGCCCATGCAAATGTGGCTAGATTCCCACCACTCGCCCAAGGTTTTGCTTGGACTTGGCACCTTCGGCACCATTCGGTGTGGATACCCTCCAAGCCTCAGATAAAGCAATTTGTTTTTGGGACCCAGTGTCATTGTCAAGGGTCACAGGCAGGGTTTCTCTTTGTCAACCCAACATATGCTAAAACTTGGGGTCCGTTCATTCGGAAGAGTCCAACTTGCTGTGACACACAGCCAAATGGTGGGCGTCATGACTGGGCGTTCTGTTGGACACCGAGCCTCACTTCGAAGCTCACGAAGCCGCGCCAGCGCCGCTGGCCAGGCCATGCCGCCATGGCCGCCGAGAATCCCAACGTGCCTCCGAAGCGGAAGCGCCAGCCTTTTTCGCGGAGAGGCCCCGGGTCTGGCCACGCGAATTGGTGGCCGTGGCCGAAAAAGCTTGGGATACAAACGCAAGCACGTGAATATACATGCCAAACGGACGCCACACAGTTGTCCCAAATATGCATAGATATTCACACGCGTTCTGGTGAAAGCAAAGGGCTTGAAATCTTGCTGACTGGTGTTGGGTTGCTTGTCCTTGGCTGAGGAGCCAAAGCCAGAATTTGCAGACCACTCTGCTTGACGCATTCTGTTCAAGGGCGACATCGCCAGTACGTCTGGCCACCCCAAAGGATTTGCTGCGCAACAAAATGAAAACAAATCGAATTGTTCAGAAGTTGTCGTGTGCATGAGCTTTTGAACCCCCAAGCATCGGCCTGCAGAGCCGCAAGTAAGCAAACGGATTCATGATCTGAGAGCCAAAAAGATTTGAAAGAAACCCAGGAAGCTTCGCTTTCTGATTTTCTTCAAGTTGCACATGACATCCTGGTTGCTTGAAGCAGGCAGCAACTCCACGACTTCAGATTGTTCTTTGCGCAACACTTTGGCGAAATGCTGCCTACCAAGGCAAACATGGAACTCCAAAGAAACCGCAATCGCCTACCCAGTCTTCATTTCTATGGCTCAACGGCTACAGATTCTTGGCGAACTTCCAACGGATCGCTTGTGACATATATATAATATATATATATAATTATATTCATAGCGGCGATTTTGGAGCGAGCAAGCATGGATGTGGCCGAACATCTCTAGCGGCTCATGCAGCCTGGCTCTCACGGACGCCAGGAGGCAGCTGTCACTGGACACAGGGGATTGGATACATTGTATGTGGCTGGCTCGACGGCCCCATTGGCTGGTTCCTCATTTTGTAGACTGTCGGAACGGACTCTTGTGCCTGGGCATGCGATTCAATGTCGTTGAGATGAGTCATGCCAGCAACAACTCTCCATCACCTTTTTTGCCTCCAGTCTGGCAGTGGATCTGGCCTTTTCTGGAGTTGGTACCCTTTTTGTCAAAGGGCAAACCAACAGGACAGCCACTGTTTTTTCTTTTTGGGAGGGGTGCGATTTAAGCCGGGACACCCAGGCCCCTGATCTGCCCCAAGTAACTCCAGGCGAGGGTGGCGAGGTTTGCTCCCGGCAGGGTCCCAGACAGATGCGGGCCCCATGGGCCCCATGGGCCCCACAACGAGTTTGCTCTTGCCATATTTGTAGATAGCTGTTCACAGTTTCCAGGGGAAACAAACAACGCAGCGCCCGTCTGAGCTCGTCTTGCAGAAACCGAAAGCCCGAAATGGCAAGCCGCAGAGCGCGCGCTTCGCCGTCGGGCATGGGTCTGATTGTACCGGCTTCCAAACACCAATACAACTAGCATCACAAACACAACCATGGGCACGAGCATTACGACACACTTTAACAGCTCGACGCATCCCGCAAAGCAAGACAGCATAATAGTTCAATCCAAAGCAACATGGTGAGGGTCGAGTTACACGCCTTCCAACATGCCACGTCCACCAAAATGCACTTGCACCGGTTCATTCAGTCACCAGTCTCTCAGGACGTTCAGCTCCATGTGATGCAACTCGGCCAACAGTGGCACTGCCTGCACGTTCAAGCAACAGGACTAATGCGAAGCTCGTTTTCTTTGCGTCTACACTATGACTGTTCGATCAAACAAGTTTTCTCACCCAAGTGATCTCGCTTTGATGTGGCTCATTTAAGAGCAGCACAAAATCAAAAGGTCACATCGCGTCTGTGTCTTAAGTAGCAGGTCTCTTCCTAAGTAAAGATTGCGAAGCCAGGGCCAATCCAAACGTAACCTCAGCTACCCAAAAAACACAGAAATAATGTTGACCCAAGATTAATAAACCCGTACCATTATTAGGGGGTGTTCCCTCCAAAAGTGATGAATCCCCACTGGAAGGGGACACCCCCCTATGAATCAACCAGGGGTGAATGAATCTGCACGACCCAACTCCTTGCCATTGACTCCTTGCCATCCAGCGGATCGGAACCGTCAGACTGAGGGGAAACAGTTTTTTACGCCGCGCCTGGCGCGGGCGCGACAAAGCCAGTAGCTCTGCGAGGCTGAGGCTGTTGTAAGGCAGGCCCTTGGCTTTGAAGCGGAGCTCGCGGGACCCGGGAGTGCGACTTAGAAAACGTGACTGGTGAACCGACTGAAGTTCTGGGCACCATGTTTTTGGGGGTTGGGTGGGGTTGGTTTAGTTCGAAGGAAAACCCTTCCCCACGGGCGCGGCTCTGGTTGCGATCTGCATAGAGACTCAGACCATGGATATGTAATGACAGCCTACAATCAACATTGAACACTTCCCTGGACTAAACGTTCCAACCTTGTTGGCAAAAATCACTCAAGGAGTTCAACTCCCCCATCAGAAACTGCATAACAATCAATGTGCTGTATGACAGCCCGTGTGCTAGACCTGAATGATCTGTGCCACTTGATCACCTACAGAATGCCATTGCATCATTGCATCCCACTGGATCCAAATGACCGGGATGGAAATCACTGTTCATCGGTGGGTTGACTGGTTGATAGATTCATGCAGCAGTTGATTGCTTGCTTGCCTGCCTGCCTTCTTGCTTGCCTGCCTGCTTGCGTGCTTGCTTGGTTGCTTGCCTGCTTGCTTGCTTGCGGGCCTGCCTGCCTGCCTGCCTGCCTGCCTGCCTGCCTGCCTGCCTGCCTGCCTGCCTGCCTGCCTGCTTGCTTGCTTGCTTGCGTGCTTGTCAGCCTGCCTGCTTGTTTGCCTGCCTGCCTGCTTGTTTGCCTGCCTGCCTGCTTGCTTGCCTACTTACCTGCCTACCTTGCTTGCTTGCCTGCTTGATCGGTTGGCTGACTGATGGACTGACGGATGGATGGAAGGATGCATGGATGGATGGATGGATTGATGGAGATGGATTGCTTGCCTGATTGCTTGATTGCCTGCTTGCTTGATGTACTGATTGATTGGTTGCGACCATGTCCTTCCAGAATCACCAACATTGGGAAACTGCAAGCGGATTCGACACTGTTGAGGATTCTTGCAATTTATGCGGTTCCGTCACTGAGTCAGAACCAGGTTCTCCCCAAAGCAAGGAAGCCAACATGACACCAACCATAGTGTCTTTTTTCCGGGCCACGAGCATGGACGTAAACACACACACACACGCCAAGATGAACAAGGCTTATCCAAATTGTCATAGTCGTGGACATGGGATGCGTTGGTGGTTGGCGACTCATGGAAACTTTGTTGTGAGAAAAAAAGAAGAGACAAAAAACATGCTAAATGCACGCTAGTGGGCAATCAGTGAGCAAGAAACTAACAGCTATTTAGATCATTGGGGTGGCGAAATGAGGCAACATGAGGCAACATGAGGCCACCTGAGGCAACTCAGGCAAGAAGCAGCGGCAAGCAGTTCAATCAGGGAGTTCCAAGCGTGTTTTCATAGCCTCCTTGCAAGTCGATGATACGGACGACTTTTGGTAGGCCAAATGTCCGGCCATGCAAAGTCAGAATTTGGGTCTGCCAATATATATCTATATATATATGCTCAAAATATGTCCCATTTCCTGAGATGGCACCGTTGTCCTCTATGTTTTTGCAAGCACGATCCAAGCAACAGTGCGATTGCGCGAAACAGCTGTGGGTCAAAGTGCGTACCCAAAATGGGTTACGCTGCTGGTAAATGGAAAACTCAAGCCTGCAGTCCATATCCTGATGGTTTTTTTGACCCATACCAACAGGGGTGGTCCCTTTCTTTAGTTTGGAACCCTCCAAAATGGATTTGGAAATTCCTGGTGGCTTCCCTTTAAACACACAAAACAAAGGTAGCCTCACACACAAAAACAGGTTTGTTTCGTGCAACATTCTGAGAGGAGAGGACCAGGCGCCAGGTCGAAGGAGCAAAGCGCGTGCTGCCACTTCCCGGCGCTCCTGCAGGCTCCCAAGACTGCAGTGAGCGTCACAGCCTCAGGAGCACCGGCCCGGCGGAGATGGATTTGGGTCTGACTTCTAAGGGTTGTTCTTTTGAAGGTTGTTGGTTTAAAAGAACACCACAGAAAATAAGCTCAGGCGATATCCCCAACCGCACCACACCCTCCCAAAATCCTCGCGGAACGCCCTGCGACCGGTTTTGCTGAGGATGCCGCGTTGTAACTTTGTAAAGCAAAGCTAAGAGTGACAGCGCAATCGCGCCCTGATCGGGGCCCGACGGCGCAATCGGGGCCCGATCGGGGCCCGACGGCGCAATCGGGGCCCGATCGGGGCCCGACGGTGCAATCGCGGCCCAAGCGGGGCCCGACGGCGCAATCGGGCCCCGACCAAGGGCCCGATGGTCCCGTGGTGCACTCAAACCACCCTTGCAGAACCTGGTAAAACCCTGGTGGAACCTGTCGAACCCTCGTGTACCCTTACGTTGAACCTGGTGGAACCATGACCACCCCGGACCCCCCGCAGCCCTGGCAGAACCTGGTCAAACCCTGGTGCAACTGTCGTGGAACCTTACCTCAAACCACCCCGGACCACCCCGCAGCCCTCGCAGAACCTGGTGGAACCCTGGTGGAACCCTCGTGGAACCTTGCCTCAAACCGCCCCAGACCACCCCGCAGCCCTCGCAGAACCTGGTGGAACCCTGGTAGAACCCTCGTGGAACACATCCTGTAGCCCTCGCAGAACCTGATGGAAGCCTGGTGAAACCTCAAACCACCCCGGACCACCCCGCAGCGCTTGCAGAACCCGTTGGTTTAAAAAAAGCAGAAAGAACAAAAGAAAACACACAACAAAAACACACCATTTTAGGGTTCCCTACAAAAACATGCACACCCATTTTCATGGTGCCCAAACGCTAACTCCCTGGTCCTTCCTTTGGGCCAGAAGAAGAGTGCTCTGGCGTGGGGCAGGACCCTCAGAAGGGTCCATGAGCTGAGTGCTCCATTGGTATCACAGGAGCTGAAATCCCGAAATTCCCCCACCCAGAAACAAAAAAGGCACCATGCTGAACAACTTAAATGGACTAGCACTTTTTGAGGCTAGCCCTTTTTTGTGGTCTTAAATGGAAACCAAAAGGACACCGAAGCCATTTTGGGGGTTCCCTGGAAGCGACACACCCAGATGCTGTTCACCAGTTCCCGAGTTTGATAATTGGCCCAGTCCGATGTTAATTAGGTGCCGATGGTCCCCCTTGTTAGGGGACCTTCCCACTGGCCGGAAGAACACTGAGCAGGAATCGGGGTGTGCGCCAAAACCGAATCCAAATGACCCCTTCTCAACAGCTGAACGAGCCCCTAGTTCTATGGCTCAACCAGTGCCCTGATTAGAAAGACACAAGGCCCAAATCAACCTGGGATCAAACATATGGGTGTGTCGTTTTTCTAGGGGACCCCACAAATTGGTGCTTTTCCTTGTGATTTCCCTTTGAAACCGCAAAAGAAGGGGGTACCCTCAAAAACGAGACACACCCGTATAGGTCCACACACAGAGCTTCTGGAATTTCAGGATCACCAAACGGGAGAAATAAGAATACCCCTTTTGGGGGTGATTTAAGGGAAACCAAGGGGAAACCAACCGTGAGGCCTGAAAAAGACACATTCATACACCTCCACTTGCTTGAGTCCCCTAGACAAAATAAGATTAGTTCCAGTAGCGATAGATGCCCCTAGAGACCAACGCGCCAACTGGAACAAAAACTGAAGCAAGTGGAAGTATAGGGAACGCTGGTTCAACATCAATTGCTTCATGCGCCAAAGCTCATCGCCAAGTCCTAGCTCGTCCGCTAGGGTCATCAAATGCAGTGCCAGCTCCCATTTCCTCGAAGCAACCCCCTCATCCGAACTGGCGATATTTGGGGTCGTCATTTTGTTTGAAGGGATTCCGTTGATAACACAGAAACTGAAATCCCACCCCCCCATGTTCCACCACCATTCTGATCAAAACATGGAGTTGTATTTTTTGAGGGCCCCCCTTTTCGATGGACACGGGCCCCTTCACGATGGTGTGGGAAAGAAGAGCTTCAAGCAAAAGGCAAAGCGGCAGCATCAGGCCGTTCAGCTTGCTCAGGAAAGGGTATCCTCTCCAAAAAATCACACCCACATATCCGTGCCTTGTGTTTGGGGAGTACCCCCTGCACTTACCCGTGTTATGGCTCACTTTGCTTGGCTCGGAGATCGGTGCGCGATCTAAATCCCTGCTTGAATTAGGCGGAGCCTAGATCATCCCCCGTGCCCAATGTAAGTTTAAGCAATCCACCAAAGGAGGAGCATGCATCGGGGTTCTGAATGACCAATGTTTGAAGTGTGATGCTGTAGTTTGCTGTGACTTGCTGGTTCACTGGAGTCACTGGCATGATTCTTGGAAGGGCAATGACTCCAAAGAAACCAAGATGATGCAGCACGTGGTACACAAGTGCAAGTGTGACGGCATGATGCAGTGAATCACGCAACCGACCTGACCACATATGGCAAACAACTACCCGAACAAGAAAGCTTTTCGACTTGGGGTAGCGTATCCATGCCTCTGCGAAGAGACACTAGTCATACAGGTGTAACCATGTGCATTTGCGGATGGGCATCTTGTTTGCCAAGATACAAAATTGCGGCTGATGATTGCATTTTTCTTCCCTTCTTTCGAACAAAAGGCAATCATCACACGAACTTAACAAATGACCAGCTCGAAGCACTTCAAATGATAGTTGCGTTCTGTTGATAGGGACCCTCGAAGATTCGTCAAGCATTGCCTTTTTGTTTTGTCAGAGCTCCGAATGCCCAATACTACTTTTCGAACACGCCAATTCTCCCACTGAAGCAAGTAAACACATTCTGTTCAGTCCATTGGGAGCCACACCTCAATGATTTGCTCAAGGAGTGAGGTTTCCTGTAGAGGCGTCTCAGCCGTCTTTGTCCCCATTGAACAACTTCATTACTGCAGCCAACGGTCTTTCCCGACTCGCATGCAGTGATGGCGGCATTGTAGGAAATCAAATCTGGCTGAAGTGAAGACGACGCCTCAGCTGCACTCGCGCCGCATGGAACTCGAAGGATCCAGACAATCGCCTGCTATTCCAAGGTGTTTTGTGCATGTGCGTGTCAATGTTTGAGGAGAACGCTGGCTGAAGTAGCTCTCGCCTTTGGCCCTCAACATGCTCAAGGGGCAGAATGCCAAGAAACTACCCCCAGCAAACTCAGACCAATAAGACACATTGAGACCTCTCACAGGTGTTGCATGTCAACGCCACGCGCCTAATTTCTGACGCCTGCAAAAGGGGTTGGCAGGGGCGCTAACAAATGGACGGAAAGCATCGTCCAAACACTTCGTTTGAGGTTACCATGTTGGGGTTGTTTTAGAGGGATTCCTCGGGAAAAACAAGCCGCACCCACTAAAGCGGCCGTGTGAATCAAGGCCCCATGCCAAAGATTCAAGCGCCCTGTGAAAGTCAAGACCCTTTGTTCAGAAGTCCAGGTAGAAAGTGACATCACATCCTCAGAATCGGAGTGTCAGTTTTTGGGGGGACCCCCCAACGCAAACCAAAAATGGTGGATTTGGTTGCCCTTGACAACAAAACAGGGGGTACCAACTCCAAAAAGCGACACGTCCAAGTTAGTGATGAAACGGGGAAGCAAATTCCAAAAGTCAGCTTGAGAACCTCCCAAGCAATTCCTACCTCAAGGGATCCATGCCATGAGCCACCGAGGCTCCATTGAAAAGAAGAGATCCAAAGCTCGTCGCCAGCAAACCCTGCAGGCGCTGATGGCAGCGTTGTAAGTGATGACATTGGCCTCAAGAGGCGGCGTGCGTTATGTCCATTCAAGGATTAAAAGAACCAGTTGGGCAATTGCAATTACGACTCATTCCTGACCTAACAAACATGCACCATGCCACAATATCAGCAAGCTCCGTGAGAGGGTAAAATTGGAGGACCCCCCCTCCCCCCAAAAAAGAGGGGAAGAAAAGATTAAGCAATCCATGAGTAAAGGTACTGGTTGCAAGGCAAAGCCCGTAATTTTCTGTGCAAGCGTAGCACTCGAAGCTAGCAGTGCCTAGCATGAATGCCCCCAAGAGATTCATTCAGCTAGCTGTCAGGGTTGGGATTTCGGCTCTTCATGAGTTGTGCCTCTGACTACGGCCCCAAATGAGAAAAACATCTGTCAAAAACCAGGGACCTGTTTGGGATGCTGCAAGGACCCCCTCCCCCCCGAAATCTAAAATACCCTTTAACAGTGTAACTGCTTCATGGTCGGATCAATTTAATCAGCCTCCATTTCACTTATTGAGGTTTGGCTCTAAGATGCTTATGTATGCGCAGGAGTGAAACTGTTAGGATTCTTGCCTTTAGTTTTAGTTGTTCGAGCAATAATCATCATGATTGTGATACGTCTGATGTTTTCGCATGATGATGATGATGATGATGATGATGATGATGATGATGATGATGATGATGACGATGACGATGATGATGATGATGGTGATGATGCTGATGCTGATGCTGATGCTGATGCTGATGAGGAGGAGGATGACGATGATGATGATGGTGATGGTGATGGTGATGGTGATGCTGATGATGAGGAGGAGGATGACGATGACGATGATGGTGATGGTGATGGTGATGCTGATGCTGATGCTGATGATGAGGAGGAGGATGACGATGACGATGATGGTGATGGTGATGGTGATGCTGATGCTGATGCTGATGATGATGATGATGAGGATGACGATGACGATGACGGTGACGGTGACGGTGACGGTGACGTTGACGGTTACGGTGACGATGATGATGATGATGATGATGCTGCTGCTGATGATGATGATGATGATGCTGCTGGTGATGATGATGGTGATGATGATGATGATGATGATGATGATGCTGATGTTGATGATGATGATGATGACGATTATGGTACTGGTACTGGCACTGGTGTTGGTGGTGCTTGTGCTTGTGCTGGTGATGCTGGTGCTGGTGGTGCTGGTGGTGGTGATGATGGTGGTGGTGGTGGTGGCGGTGGTGACGGTAGGGGTGGTGGTGGCGGTGACGGTAGGGGCGGCGGTGGTGGTGGTGACGGTAGGGGTTGTGGTGGCGGTGACGGTAGGGGTGGTGCTGGTTGTGGTGGCGGCGGCGGCGGTGGCGGTGGCGGCGGTGGTTGTGGTGGTGGTGGTGGTGGTGACGCTAGGGGTGGTGGTGGCGGTGGTGGTGGTATTGAAGGTAGGGGGGGTGGGGGTGGTGGTGGTGCTGGTAATGATGGTTTTGATGGCGATGACGTGGTGATGATGATGCAACAAGGACGCTTGGATCTATGATGATGAGCACAATTCACCCAACTGTAACATGGTTCCTGCCTCAAGTGTGAGGGACATCAACTCAGCCAGTGCAGACAGCGCGTGTGCCCACTGCTCACACCTCAGAGCGGCTGCACAAAAGAACTTCAGGACAGCTTACAAAGTGACCGAGACGCTGAGATTGAAGAAACTGAGTTAATTTCCCGCCATGCAACATGTGCCAACAGGTCGTGGTGCATCAACCCCTGTAACTACTCCCCTTTTGAAAAGGGAGGATTCCTGCACCCCTCATGTGTGTTCGCAAAAAGGCTCAGGATGTGCGTCGTGTCGCATGCATCTGCTGGAGTAGCAGCTAGACGTGCTAAGTTGGCCCTGAGTCTGTCTTGTGTTAGGGTACCCCATGTTGGCTGGTTTTAAAGGGAAACCAGGAGGGACAACCACATTTTTGGGGGCTTGCCTACACAAAGACACACCCACCTCTGTGACTTTCCCTTTCCGCACGGCAGCACTCTCAGTCGAGCCTGTCTTCGTCGCAAACAAAACGACTTCAGGAGTTTCAGTTGTCTTTAAACATGGTGAAGCAAATAATTTAACCAACATGCACTGGTTTGCCAGGATACTGGATTTTCGGTGCCGCTCTGAGTTGTCCATATGATCCACCAGATTGGCGGGCGTAACAAGGAGCAACCAATCAACAACGGGATTGGGGGATCATGTCAGCCCCATGATGGAAAACGTATGCACCAAACTCGGTTGGTTGCGTTACTCGAAAAAGCACCAGAAAGTGGAGCATGTAGTTGACGACCATCCCGGTTTCTCCCATAAAAAGAGGCAGCCTCGCAAGATTGCACGTCTTCTGACATCAAGCAGGAAAGGCTCCCAGGAAAGACACATCGCGGATTTGTCCAACACAGCGGTGTCCATGAGGCAAGATGAGCCCAGTTTTGTCGTGCTTGAATAGAGGAAACTGACAGGAGACCACCCTCTCAGCAACGGTCCGCTCTATGGGCAGCAAGGCACTTTTCACAGGCACTGATCAAGGCATTGAAGGCAATGACATCCTCCTGAGCAGTCAGTGAGACACAGAACGCAGAACTTATGCATCTGTCAGAGCTGAGGTGCATAGCCGTGTCACCGCATGCCTTTTGTTTATGGATAAATGTTGGGAGTCCCCCCCTTCCAAAATTGCTAACCGGATGCGACGTGGTATGAGGATGTCACGGGTGTCAAGCAATCTATATATATGGGGGTTGTCCTATTCCTTTGCCTGCAATTGGGCCCTTGGGCCGCACTTGCGCGGCACCTGCGCGGACTTGCGCGCGCACAGTGACGCAGAAACTCGTTCTCGTTGACCTCGGTTTGCGAAGTTCTCGTGTGGATTGCGCGCAAGCTTTTCTAAGCAGTGTGTTTGTCGTTCACACAGCAACCCACAAAGACTTTTCCCGCTGTCGCTCCCGGAAATTCATTGCGAGCAACATACCCTTGACTCAACAGAAAGAACAGCAGGCTCTGCCACACAGCTTGGACACAGCCTGAAAGAATGAAAGTGCATGTTGCGGGTGCCTATCCATTGCTTGAACCGCGCCGCTAAGGACATCCGAGACAGCATGGCTACAGTAGATGTCTTGCTGGGGCTTCTCGTGCTTGCGCGCAACTTGCGCGCGGCTTGCGCGCGGCTTGCGCGGATTTTGTCGTGTCACTTGCTGATTGTTGAATTCATGACCGCAGAAGCTTTGGCTTCGTTTGGCGTCTGACTGATTCGAAAGGCACAAGTACAGCAAGAAAATATCACCTCCTTTCATCAAGCTAGGCAACATCAGTACATGAAACCCTTCAAAACTGAAACCTTGCGCGTCCCTTGGGCCGCACTTGCGCGCTCCTTGCGCGCGCACAGCTTTTGGCAACTTTTACTTCTCCTCGTTCGGCGATCATTAAAACTGAAGACTGGGGTTTTAGGACGGCCCTCATATATATATATATATATAAAGCAGGTAAGTGGCCGCCATCATGCTCTCCAGTCACAGTACTATTGCACATGCACCCGGTATGTGATAGGCGAGCTCGGTGCTTCCCTAGGAATGGGCCTGCTCTACTAACCTCATTTGCTTTCCTTTCCAACACCAACAGGGGGTTCACAATTTCAAAAAATATTGCATATTAAGGGAAACCCCTCCCCAGCTGAGGAACTCCGACCGACTCCCGGGCAAAAACCAAAAGCAAACCCAGCGACCGCAGACCGCCGGTCTCCTGCACCTTGGCCCGGCGCATCTCTTCGAAGACTTCCGCGGCCGCCTGCCACGCGGAGCCGCGCTCGCAGGAGCTGAGCAGCGCCCCGTACAGGGCCACATCCTGGTGAGACAGCGACTTGGTGGGGGGCCGGTCGAGTGAGACCAGCGCAGGGATAAACATGGAGGCGGCTCCAAAAAGAGGGCTGCAAAATGGTACAAAATGCAAACTTGGTAAATGGAAAGGTAAAAAACCTGCTCCCAGCTGATTAGTTTTGAGCCACGCCCATGGGTATGCATCGGACCCTTTGGTGGACAGAATTCGACGAGACTTTTTGGAAGCACCACTTTTGATGTGCCGAACTGAAATTCAGGGCTATGCGTCAAACTAGGGCCAAAACAATAGGCCCAAAGGTTACCAACCCAACGGGCAAGCAAGTGTGCCTTTTGTTCCCGGCAAGTACCCCTTGCGAGCTTCGGCTGCGGAAAGCGCATTGTATTGACAGTCGTTGGTTCAGGGGGCGACCAAATTCGCGACAAATGGGTATGTGTCAAAAAAAGGGGCAACCCAATATGGTGTTCTTTCGGTTTCCCCCTGAACAATCCCCGCTTTTACGGATACCCTCCAAAAACGATTTGCCCACATGCCATGCAAGGATTGGCTGGATGCCTTGTCTGAAAAGAGGCATTGGGTTCTGCCAGCAAGCGTGGGGTCTACCCTCTATTAGTGTCTACCTTCTATGTGGGGTGTGGAGTACACGAACCAGGCTGAATCCAGTAAATGAATGTGAGTTTGAATAGGGGAGCCTTTGGTGGACATCAACGAGGGAGTCCCGCCACTTGTGAGGTTGGTTCCCTATTGAAATCATAGCTAATGGAACGAGACTTCATCCCGGAGCAAGGAATCTTCATGCATGGGTCGTCTTTCAACATCTGAAGGCAAGGTCGACCAATGTTTTGCCCATACACATGTCTTCTTGGATATGCTCCAACAAGTGGTGTTGCCCCCAAAGCAAATCAACAAACATCGAGCAATAACACTTTACGCAGGGGGGGGGAATGTAGTTGTCCACTCATTTTGGGTCTTGGTGACATAAACAAGTGCCGCGCGGCAAGAAACAACAGAAACACACGGCCTCCGTCCGCAAGAAGCGCCGCGTCTCCTGAAAGATCAGCAACGCCTGCGGTCAGGAGAAAGGGGAACCCATGGTTGAAAAACAACCTAATTATGTCCCTACTTTGGACACATACCCTTTCACTAACCTGCAGCTAGAAAATTCATGAACCAACTAGCGAAACGCGTGGCTGTCTGGCATGCGGCTCCCCACCAGGGAGGTAGCTCATTTTGATAACTGAGGATTACGAACTTGCACGGATGACAGAATAGCTCCCTTCGCTGGCTAACTAGTTACTTGCTAGACAAGGAGTCAACACAAATAAAGCCTCACGTGACAAGGGTGTCGCAGTCCAATTCTTGAAGCTGATCACCACTTCAGCGCCACCTGCATTGCTTTCGCCGATCCAAGCGGCTCGCCTGCTGCCAGCGGCCGCCCAGCGCACCCACCACGCCCCCCACAGCTGCGGGCGTGGCCGTGGTCGGGGACAAGAGAGCAAGGGCTGCTGGCCAGCAACTGGCCTGTTCCTGGAGCTTGAGACATGCACAGGTAAATGCTTTAGTCTCACTTGCAAAGGACCAGAAAGCGGCCCGGCTATTCCATCCGCGTTCCGCTTGTGATAGGGACAAGCACATCAGGTGCACATGTGCGTCTTCAGATCAGTGCTTGCATAGCTTGGCAAACTACAAAGGCGAATACCACTCTCTCTCTCTCTATATATATATATGTACAATACAGCTATATATATATATATGTATGCACATTCCCAGTCTGTGGGGCCGTTCAACGACTTTGAACATGTCCAAGTTACGCAGCAGCTGATGGCGGCGTTATAGGAGATGGCCTGTGGCCCAGCAAGTCTTGGCGTTTGGAAAAGAGGAAAACCACAAGACGAGTGTGACACCCTTGGTTCATTGCGAAATGACAATTCAACCAGCTGGAGAGTCGATTCCAAATCTTGCTTTGTTTACCACGTATCATGTCCGTTCGGGGGGCCCTCCACCCCGGAGAAAGAAATACAGAAAGCCCTTCAAGTGCTGGAACCCTCCTCCAAAAACAAGGTAGCTGATCCCCATCTTAGCTCCTGGCATCAGCTCCTTGGCTATCGGTCAACTCTTCCAGCAGCACTAGGGCCTCTTGCCTGGGTGCCAAATTTGGCCCCGGGGAACCGGTTCTAGGTGTCCACCCTCCCACCCTGTGGCGCAAACGCATGTTGCAATAAAAACTGTCTGTCAAAGGTTTGCACCTCTGCGGTTCCGCGCCTGCTTGCGGGACCAACAAACATGAGAGCAACTGTTCAGTCCGCCTTCATTTTCTTTCCGGTCGCTCTCTGGGGTGGGTCTGGTTGCCAACGCGAATCTAGCATCATCATGACCTGGCCCATTGAAAAGGGCTAGCTCTACAAACACACCATCTGTTTTTGCGCGCATATTAATATTGAACGGACACCAATTCACACATACCGCCCAGCGCCACTAAGCAGATGAGGAGTATTGTGCTAGGATAAACGGCACAACCTGCTCTTTGTTCATAGACACCCCCCAGCGGTGAGGATGCGAGCGGATCAGACTAGCCCAGACCTGTCAAGCACGGGAATTACAGTACTTGGGCGTTTCTCGAAATGTTTGGGGGGCTGCTGGATGGTACAGGATTAAAGGGACCAAATTTTACTTGGAGCAGCGTGCGTGTCGCTGCAAAAACCCTTCAGCACTGATCCAGATCTGCCCAAAGAACATTGACCTACAGCTCGGCAAAACCGTTGCCATGGAAATGGAAGCAAACACAGCCAGGCCTGTGCCACGGGATGTTTTGTGTCCAGAAGCGTTTGGAGCCAACAGCTTCCACATCGACTGACGAAGAACTTCTGCCAAATCAAAGCTGGAGCGCTCGACTTCCAAGACATGTGAGCCATGGACAAGATCATGTCCCCCGTCACGGCAGGTTGCACGCAAAAAGAAACACTGCGGGGACTGTCGGTAGTTTGCATGCATTCACAAAATGAACCATAGCCTTTTGGAAGCGACATTATTTTGCCTAAGTCCGCTGGGCCTTACCCTGCTGGCAATCAGCAACTCTTTGGGATTCCATGGGTCTGTCTCATGGGACGTGTTGGATGGCTCAGGGACACACGCAAGCAACAAACCTGTCCAGGATTTAGATAAGGGAGCTTCGGCAAAGGGCCTCCCAACACGAAATGTGCACACGCTAGCACCACTGCACACGCTGGCACCACTCTTTATTATAATTGGTACCGCCGAGGCGCCAGTGACTGCCGCAGGCACTGATGGTTGTGTTGTACAGAACCTTGGCTTCATCCAAAAGGGCAATACAGCACGTGTTTCTGAAAGTAGGGTCTGCCCAAAGCAGTCGCTTCCTTTTGGTCTCTTGTTGCAACTCTTGGATGGGCTCTTGGCTTTTGGTGCACCCCCCCCCCGTTTGCAGAAAAAGGCATGATCATGATCTGATAGGCAGCACTTGACCCATGACTACTGCCTTCTGAGCCCCATTGGAAAGTGAGCCAATGAACCTTCCCTTAACTCCAGCCCCGCTTAGAAAGCGACGCAACCGCAGTAGGGGGCCCATGACTACAGTATACATCCGAATCGGCTCAGATGCGCCCTTTTATGGCCAACAAACCCTACGCATCCTACACCACTACAAGCCACATGAGTGGCTCACAACCTAATGTACTGGGAAGCCACGTCCAAATTTACTGCAGAGCCAACTCCCAAAACTGCCACTGTGCACACCCGGCTGAGGTATTGACCATCGACTCAAGCTGCAGCTCACATTGGCATTCTTTGCATGCACGCTACAAGGTGCCAGATCTTCTTCTGCAGTGTCCCACGTGCCAACTATGTTAAAACTCTTTAGATGGCCTATGGTCATGGTTCCCTTAATAGGATGATTCACTATAACAGTTCTTAAGGATCCTCACTGCCAGGTTATTGATCATCCCTGCTAACCCCAAGTAAGGGTCTTTTGGCCATTGCTCACATGTGTAGTCAATGTTAGCCCTGTAACCTTTGTGGAGCTGCCCTGAAACTCTGGACCGCCGCCTTGCGCTTGAAAGCTTCCCGAATATCATGCAACATCGAATCCACATGATGCCATTGCTACATAGCTTGACAAGGGCACTGGTGCAAACGGCTTCAAACTGCAACGATTTTTATTCCAGGCCTGGTTGTGATACATTCCCACAGGACGGCAACTCTAGTAGATTGTCAGCTTCCCCCCCCAATTGGTGGTTTGGATTTGTGTTTTTCTTGGTGAAGGAGGGGTTCCCATTTACCCTCTGCAAAACATGCAAAAGCCAGGGGTTCAAATCCAAATCCGAACCACCGTGCAACCACCAAAGGGAGCCTAGCCGCCAAACAAACCGATAGCTCGACCGATAGCCACGTCAGGTCACCACATCCGGCTGCAGCTGGTGTCGCCCCAGCTGCCGCAGCAGTTGGCCCGCCTCCGCCCACCTGGCGCTTGATGGCAACTGACGCGCTGAAAATTCCGCACAGTGGGAAACCAAATGGCAGCGGGTCAAAAATAGGGTAACCCCCAAAATAGAACCCTGGTAAATGGAAACACGGACTAAAACCTGCGGTCCCCTGGTGGTTTAATGTTTGACTCATACCCAATTGCTGAAAACCGGGCTAAACAATTGGGGAGCCCCTTCTTGGAGCGAATCCTCTCTCAGAAAACACCCGAATCATACGCCAAGTAATGTGGGCGCGGTAAAACATGCAACAAACTGGGGCCCATTCGGGCAAACCTCGGGTGACGGGTGCCTGACATGAGTCACGTACAATGTGGTGTTTCCCGAAAGGCAGTACAGGGCGGCAGCAAATCCACCCAGACCAGTATCAGTGGCTCACATTCTAGGAGTGGACCGCCCTTGCTGGACACTTAGGCTATTGATCCTCGAAAGCAAACATCACCCGCAAGCCAATGGTAAAAGTTAGCGGCTCTTGCGGCTTGCAACCAGGGAATTAGCTTCTTTGCCTTGAGCCGATCAGCCCTACTTCGAAGACTCTTCTGCCCAAACTGCGTCCCATTTCAGAGCTCCAAGCAACAGCCACCTGGCAAACGCAACTAAGATATCTGGATCTGGTTGAACTCCCAGTTTGATTCCCTTTTCCTCTCCAGGAACTCTTTGCAAAGGCCGGATGTTTCCGGTTTCCATCCCTTCACAGGACCTCCCCGTCTGACAAACTTTTTGCCCTCTGCCCGTGTCTCGACTTCCAGCCTTTGCCCGGCGCCACAGGCACTCACCGCCACACTGAAACTCACGAGGTCCAGCTCGGCCGTTGAGAAGAGGCACAAGGCCGCCTCTCACTTCGATTTGTTTTGCTCATGGGGTGCCCGTGCCATGGCCATGGGCGACTTCACCTCTTCTCACTTGGCATTTTGCGCCTTGGGCGACCTTTTCGCTGTTCCAAATCACTGCCGAACAAAACAGAACGACCCATGGATTGCTCTTACTTTAAAGTCCCTTCATGAGTAGTGTAACCAAGAGCCTCAGGAAATGAGAAGCTAGCGAACCGGTGGGAAACTGACGGCAAGTGTCACGGAGAAGACCGGCTACGCCTTGGTTTGCGAACCTCAAATCCGGGGCAGGTGGCAAGGAGTTCTCAATGTCGGCGTATAAACATGTTCAGCCAGTCGTTGCCCCAGAACGCGCCTTCAAATTGAAAGATCCAGTCGTGGAATGGCCCCATGTTGGACAGGGCGCGCACAACGCGACCGGAATTAAACAACGGGGGCTCTGCGGAAACGGGTCTCCAAAGAAGACATGACAACAGAAGATAGTCCTATGATTTACCCAATGGCTAGCCTAAGGACGACGCCTCCTAGACATGAGGGGTCGGATGCCAAGCAGGAACTATTGAAGCTTCAGGATTGAATCTGGTCCCACTGGCCTTTCCAACAGCACGCGTCGATTTTATCAATCGGCGGATCTTCTTGAACTTGTACGACCCATACTCGGCGTACACAAGATCTGGTTCTAGTCATGTTCATGGTCTTGTCATGACAAGACTGAGAACATATTGACAAACACTAGACCAGCAAACAACACCACACACACACATCACTGGTCGGCCACGAGCAGAGCATAATGAGTTGATCTTGTCTTCAAGGTTCAATGAAACACATTTAGGGAGTCCAGGGTTGTGGTTCCGTCCAGTGCAAATGATGTCGCTTTGCGGAATGCGGAACTCGCAGCCCAGGATCTTCACTTCACCAAAGCGACGGGAGCCCTGCCCTATCCACCGTTAGCATTTCCGCTTCATCCGGAGCTTGCCTCCAGAGATCGGTGCTCGATTCGCATTGCCAGAAAGAAAAGGACCTCCTAAAAGTGCGGAAATTTTGAAGGGGGGCTCCCTCTATCCCGCTCTTCCCGGAGCTGACCAGGCAGGTTGCGTTCCCTGCGATGAATAAAATCAGCCACTGGCCAGATACGCGGAAGTCACGTGAAGTCATGAAGGTAAACCCATCCAAGGCGAACAGCGGCTAACATCTCAAACCTTCTACAGAGGGAAGCAGCCGCCACAAGGCTAGCAAGTACCTACCTCAGCGATTCCATTTACCTCCCTTTAACACCCCCCTCGGAAAACTGTTGGTTGCCTACAATTTAGCGGCTTCCTGGAATCCTTCATTAAAAAAAAAAAAAAAAAACTGGAACAGTTGGTTACCCACTCGAGCGGTGGCTGGTACCTTGGAATCATCACAGGAACACCAGCGCCCCAGCGCCTGCCAGGCACTGCCCAGCTCGCAGGCCTCATTTGCATCGATCCAGTCCAACTGCCGTGGACGAAATCCCTTCGCACCACCCCCCAAAAAGGGTTCCCTCCAAAAAGGAATACCTGCGGTGGACGAACTCCTGCAACCAAGAAACCCTGGAATACCGATTCCCCTGCGCATACCAACAAACGATGGTGTCAACCACTATTTTGAGACAAAGGGATTGACTATACTCAGCAAAAACACGAGAGTGAAGGTTGCGCGGGAACTTGGATGCTACTGTTTTTTCTACCCTTTGACGAATTTATGTGCATGTGACATGTGGCCAAACGCTCTATGGATTCTATCCAGCCGATGATTGCTCTTCTGCAGAATGCTGCGATAGCCCGCAAACTGTTGCAAATCGATGAGAGCCGGTTGTAACTCACCTGTACAGAGGATGCAGCTATACATACATATATTTGTATGTTTTTCTATACGCGGGAAAACCTAGAGACGCCCTGAAGCGCGGAGCCACCTTGACGAACACAGGACAAAGCCAACAATGCTCACACAGGTGACCAAAGCCAATTGAGTTTGTCTCAAAATTGGACTCCCAACATTCATCTGGCTTCCCTTCAATCCTGAAGAAGCCAACTCTGAGGCGTTGGCTTCGGGAAATGGGTGTGTCTCAAGCAAGGGATCCGGGTCCCAATCGGCGATCCAAAGTTTAAAGCAACCTAAAATACCCTTCCCGTTTGCTTCCCCCTGCTTTGGATTGTTGGTTTGGTGGAAGTTTCCCAACAACCCCAACTAATCAGGGCTTGCCTGACAACGGCTCCCTCACAAAAAAGAGACGTCCACATGGGAGGCTTAAAGAACTCACGGCTTCGTCACGCCTTCATGGCGGAATTGTAGACCACGGAGTTCTCTCTGAGCCTTTGCATCTGCAAACGCTCAAGAAGCGCCAGAGCCTCAGACGTGCCCACCCCGTACCAACAAAGCCGTATAGCACAAGTGCCGCAAAAAATCCGACCCGAAAAGGAGACACCATAAAAACTTCAATGTGTGTTTAAGGGAAGCTGACTCCTTGTACGGTATTGCTTGTTGGCATTCTTTGGATGTGCTTTGCTTGTTTCCCACAGCAACTTGGGATGCTCTTGTTGCACGGAAGACCGGCAAAAGAAGTGCCTTCCCTCCAAGCCTTACTAAACCCTACTGATTTGGCCTGTAGTCAAAGGGCATAAACAAATTGCAACTTAATTCGGTACGTGCTTTGAAGATTAGCAAGGAACCCACACACCCTCGTGGGATTTACCTGCAGGGAACCTTTTTGGGTGCTGCTTCATGTCGCAGGGACTTCGCCGGCAGATTGCTAAGCTTTTGTGACCGGGCCGGGAAACCCGAGTATGTCAGCACGTGGCTCCTGAACACTTGGCTCGCAGAACCCTGTGCGCTTTCGGGGGCCTCGAAGACTCCATGCTTTCTGATGTGTGTTCATGTCCGTGGGCTGGGGAAAGAGAGTGGGCTGGAGAAAAAGAGTGTGAGAACGGGAAAGAAGAAGAGGAACAAAGAAAGAAACAGGGAGAGTGAAAGAAGAGAAACAAAGAACAGATAGATAAAGAGAAAGAGAAGATAAAGAGAAAGAAGAGAAGTTAGAGAAGGAAACAACAACGCGAAAGATCAAGAATCAAGAAGAAGAGTAAGATACATATTAAACAAGAACAAGAGAAAGACAAAGGACAAAAGACAGAGATAAGGAAAAGGAGACAAAGTAAGAGAAAGACAAAGAACACATAAAACAAAGATAACAGCGACAGAGAGAGAGAGAGAGAGACATACTAAGAGAAAGAGACACAGACACGAGAAAAAGACAGATCGAGAGAAAGGCACACTAAAACAATGAAACATGTACACAGAAACACACCCAGAAAGAGACAGATCAAGAACGAGAAAACGATGCAAAGACAAAGAACAGAAACAGAGAAAGAGGAATATACTGAGAATCATACTTGAGAAGATAGGGATAAAGAGACAGTACTAGTAAACAAAGATAAAAAGACAGAGAACAAGATAGAGGAATAGAAAGAGACAAATAAAAGCAACAAGACACATAACCACAAGGATAAAGTAATCAGACAAAGAGGAACACCAAGATAAAAATAAACGAAACAACATAATGATTACACATAAATAGACAGAAGTAAAAACAACAACAAAGACAATCAAACTGGTACGGAGACACAACGGAAGAGGAAAATACAGAGAACGACAAAGCGGAAGAGGATCAAGAGAACAAACATGGGAAGAAAGACAAAGGGACGAAGGAGAAAGTGAGAGAAAGAAAGAAGGGAAAACTCATCGTGCTCCAAACTATGGTTCTGAAATGTTTCAAACTTCCGCTCTCCGGCTCTGCCGGACTGTACTGGTATGAATAAGGCTCAATCTGCAAGACTGCTTGCAGTGATAGTTGATGCTGTTGCTCAACACAAGTCCTGGTGCTTTCTCACTCAACCAGGCCTGTTTTAAGCCAAGTGTCCGATTGCCAATGCGCGCCACAAGCACTGATGCCAGCGCCAAATGCTATCACATCCAGCGGCACGTCTGCTGTGGACAGAAGAAACAATGCCTGCTGCCATCTCCTGACTGAACTCTATGTCATGAAAACTGATGCACATAGCCGGCTCTCAAAAGAGTGCACGGGGAGCGCCCAATCCTTTGAGCGGACACAAATTATACGCATGGGGGATGGGGGGGGGAGGGGAGGGGGAGGGAGGCCAAATAAGCCCTTGTTGAGCCCTTAGTAAGGCCCTACTATCAAATAAGGAAAAAATCACCGCAGCTCAGCTTGTCACGCCGAACATGGCCGATCTCAAATCCTGCGAACACAAACCAAGGTTTGACCTGTTCGTTGCTGTTGGTCAAACAAGCACTTTCACACTTCCAGAAAAACACAGCTTCAAAACTAGCATGGAAACCAAGTGTTGGCCCCCAAAACTCAGGAGTCATCCAGCAAAACGAGTTGAGTCGGATGAGGTTTGGCTTTCTCGTACCTTCAGTGTCATACCAGTTGCCACACATATCCGACATCCCACTTACACTGGGCGAAACTCCCAGCTATAACTTTAGGATGATTTCTAACTCACAGGTCACGCCAGAAAATCTGGGAACAACTGCTTCAAGTGCATTTTGCTACAGCAGAGCCGCTCAGCCTCGTCCAAACTTGAACATGGCAAGCTGCCTTGTGCCTCCAAATCCTATGGTCAATCAGGCTTGGATGCGGCCAACCGTACAGCGTCAAGTCACTCTTGCAGTTTGCCGGTCAAGCAGCTTTCAACATTGATTCACAAGGGAACCTCAAGTTTGACTAGTCCGTCAAATAATCATGACCGAGATCACATGACAAACATGGTTTAAAGCGAGCAAGGCTGACAGCTTCTGGTTGGGCAAGCAGCATACCTTGGCCTGTTGAAAGCCTTCCACTGCCACGACGGTTTTTGAAAGGCAGGCAATCACTAGGGGAACATGGTAAAATCTGTCGACAGCAGGAACATGTTCAACGTCTTGCTTAGTGTGGAACCCGCAATTCCCCCGAAGCTTGCGGCTAAAATTCTAAAATTCCAAAGCGCAATGGCAAGCGTCCCTGCTTTGCTGCAAGCGGTGATGGCGGTGCTGTAGGTGATCACATTTGCGACTTCTTTGGCGCCACTGAACAGCTGAAGAGCTCGTTGCCACTGCTGTGCCCGGCTGCATACATTGATGGCTGAGTTGAAGGATACCTGAGACACCCAAAAAGGCCACAAATGCCCATACGTAGTAAAGCAATGAAATGCTGTGAGGGTCTGTTTTTTTGGGGAACCCTGTTTGCAAGGATAGTTTTGAATGGAAACCAAGAGCAACCGTTTTTTGTTGTTCCCTATATCAAGAAACACACATCCATGTCTTCCATTGAAGGCAATGTGGTTCTCCTCGGGTATGGGTTTGGGGACCTTCCTGCAAACTAGATACATGAAATATGCAAAATTGACAACTCTCAAAAAGCGGTGCGCTGTTGCCAACCCTCCCAGGAATGGTTGACGCAGGGCAGGTCCCTGCTTCACATAGATTGGGCCAGGAACGGGAACATGTGCAAAACACCTTGAATAAAGCTGCACAAACTCGCATGGAATCGTAAAACCGGAAAAGACCCCGCCAATTTAAGCGCGTATGGCTTGATTTGGTGCGGCGTTTGCTCAAGATCCTAGCAAAAAGGAGGGCTGCGGCACGCAAATTTGTCCAAGAACTGTTTGCAAAGCTCCTGCCGATCAAAACCCCACTCCACCATGGGTGTTGGACTTGCAAACAGCTGACCCAAGGTGCAAACTCCGAGGGAAGACCACACAAAAAACCCAGAGCAACCCACCAAGCAGTAGCAGTCTCACTGCAGCGCAACAGGTTTCACAAGTTTCCGTTTTTTGCCTAGAACCGGCAAAGGCTGAGCAGTTTGTGTGTGTGCAGTGCCTGGGCGGAATGCCCAGCGGCGCTTTGGGAATTCAACCCAATTCAACCCAATAAGCCTGATGGTCAACAGAAATGAAAGCAGGGCTTCTCGGTGGACCTCCAATTAAATGAGCCATGGGCAAAAGAACCCCCCCTTGAGAATTCAACCAAATAAGCCTGATGGTCAACAGACACCAAAGCTTGGTTTCATGAGCCGTCAACACAAACCAAAGGGGTTTGTGGGGGAGTCCCGCATGGACGCAGGGGAAGCCTGGAAATGTGTCTCTTGTGTTGCGCGAGGGCAATTCAGATATGTTCGTTTCTCCAGTTGTGTTCCGTCGGATGTGTGGCATCCAGTGTAGCAACTTGCAGCGGTGCTGACGGCCATTTCGTGCCTCCAAAATGAGGATGATCTCATGATCCATTGAAGACTTGATGTGTGGGCTCAAAACCCTCTTGAGGGCATGCTTCCCATTCCAGACCCACGCCATCTACCGCATCGATTCAGCATCAACATGCTTCCACGCGCCTAGTCTGGTTGGTGCTTGATTGCTTGTTGCAATTCAAGAGACTAGCCTGCCAGGACAAGCAGCTCACTGACATGAGTTGGTAAACTGACCCATGTAAACAACATGTTGTCCACTTGTTGCTGCGCGGGGTGTCTGCAATCGCAGGGCATTCACGTCTTGGTTGTCAGAAAGGAATCAAAAGGGGTTCCGGGAAAGAACCACATCTCCTACGACAGGACTAGCCACCGCCGACAGACCCAGCATAGAAAAACTGTCGACGCCGAGCAGCGACATCTGCCTGGAGGGAAGCATCGGAGATCTCCTGAGAGGATCGGAGGAACTTGCGCTGAAACGAACACACCCAACGTCATTCGGCTTGGAACAGCATGGTCTGGACAATGCGCTCGACTCGAAATGTTTGTTGCTTAAATTCCGCGGATACCACGGTGATCCGCAGAATGGGAAGGGCTGAAACATCACATCGGAAAGTGTGCCTCCCTTCAAGAACATGTATGACAACTAGATGGCCATGGAAAAAAGGTACAACTCGAGGGACGGTGGCTGCCATAATCGTCGCCCTCCTTGAAAGGACCTTCCCGTTTCTTTTAATACCAAGCCAACAAGGAGCCATTAGCTTCATTAGGCAGCATGTCGCAGCCATGCCCCTGTTCGCAGGCAACAGCGGCCATTTAGGAAGTCGCGTGAATACTGCCTGCCACAAGCCAAGCTGCCGCCAGGAGGGAGATAGCTCGTGGCCAGTGTGCGCCACACGCGGCAATGGCTCGGTTGAAGTCCCGAACAACCATGAGCCCCGGCTCGAGCCAACCGCGAGAACAACATAATTCGGCGTTGGAAATTCAAGGACTAAAACCTGCTGTCCCTTGGTGGATTATTTGTGGCCCATACCCAAGTCATGATGAATGCCCGGTTTGCCCCGTGGCACTGGAGTTTCGTGACGACAAACAGCAGAGGGACTGCAGAGAGTGGAACACAGAGAGAGAGTGCGGGATTGGGCAGTAGGCGGCCTTCCAAAGCACATGCCTCTATTCACTGGATTGCCCAGCTGTGTTTTATCTCGCTGCCAAGACTCGAAAACTGGGAAAGCAAACCGGTTGAAGGCCACCCTCAGTGAGGTCAGGGAAGGGCCACCAGAGTAGGAACATCTTTTGCCGAACAGACACCCATTTGTGTGTGGAGAAGTACCACGTATCCGTATCTCGTCCGTGCAGCGCTGCTTTCCGTTTCCAATACGCTCGGTCATGCTGCAAAAGACTGACAATTCCTTGCCGATCCTCGCCGCTCGTTGCTATACGCAACTCCTAGCACAAAGATATAGCCATTTAATTGCCGGAATCAAACACACCGCAAAAAAAAAACGTTCATGTCGTGACATGTTTGCAATCCATCGTGTAGATTGATATGAATTTTGCACTGCATGCTGAACAAATCCGTTTGCAAACGAGCGGACATCTAGCACAATAAATTTCATAAAGCAAATCAACTGGCGCATGGCTTTCTGTTTGCCATGTTTGCGGAATAACATGACTTACCCTCGTGCAACAGCACTGAGGGCAAGAGGGTGAAACATGATCTTCCCAAACTCCTGCGAGACAAAGAGTCTGCCTTGAACTGCCTGCGAACACTGGTGGTTGCTTTAATATTCGAAGGTTGTGACACATCATTACTCCAAACAAACACTCCAAATACACAACACTTGCTGGTTGAGGACAGCAGGCCCAGCGATTTCGCCAGTTGATCATTTAGATACTTGATAAATTTCGCGCATCCGTGCTGGGTGCACTGGGAGGGTGGCTGGACTGAGATTTGCAGTGATGATGCAGTCGTTATCATTGATGAAGTGGGCATTGATGGACTCCAAGCCAAATGGCCATGACATAAACATCCTTCGCTCCATGTTTCATTCGGTACCTGCTCCGGCGTGCTACCAACGTGCAATGAGCTGCTACCTGCGGCAACGAGCGGACGGGGGTGGCAAGTTCGCTTCGCAAACGAGCACGCATTACAGTAGACTTATGTAGGCTTCATAAAGCAAATCGACTCTGGCACAGGGATTTTGCCATGTTTGCGGAAAAACATGACTTACCCTCATGCGACAGCACTGAGGGGAAGAAGGTGAAACATGATCTTCCCAAACTCCTGCGAGACCAAGAGTCTGCCTGGAAATGCCTGCTAACACTGGTGGTTGCTTTCATAGTCAGAAGCTGTGACACATCATTACTCCAAACAAACACTCCAAATACACAACACTTGCTGGTTGAGGACAGCAGGCCCAGCGATTACGCCAGTTGATCATTTAGATAATTGATAAATTTCGGGCATCCGTGCTGGGTGCACTGGGAGGGTGGCTGGACGGAGATTTGCAGTGATGATGCAGTCGTCTCAGACCAGCTGGAAAGACTGCCAGGGCAGGGGTTGTCATTGATGAAGTGGGCATTGATGAACTCCAAGCCAAATGGCCATGACATAAACATCCTTCGCTCCATGTTTCATTCGGTATCTGCTCCGGCGTGCTACCAACGTGCAATGAGCTGCTACCTGCGGCAACGAGCGGACGGGGGTGGCAAGTTCGCTTCGCAAACGAGCACGCATTACAGTAGACTTATGTAGGCTTCATAAAGCAAATCGACTCTGGCACAGGGATTTTGCCATGTTTGCGGAAAAACATGACTTACCCTCATGCGACAGCACTGAGGGGAAGAAGGTGAAACATGATCTTCCCAAACTCCTGCGAGACCAAGAGTCTGCCTGGAAATGCCTGCTAACACTGGTGGTTGCTTTCATTCTCAGAAGCTGTGACACATCATTACTCCAAACAAACACTCCAAATACACAACACTTGCTGGTTGAGGACAGCAGGCCCAGCGATTTCGCCAGTTGATCATTTAGATACTTGATAAATTTCGCGCATCCGTGCTGGGTGCGCCGGGAGGGTGGCTGGACGGAGACTTGCAGTGTGGGCATTGATGAACTCCAAGCCAAATGGCCATGACATAAACATCCTTCGCTCCCTGCTAACACTGGTGGTTGTATATGCAACCGTCTGAGACCAGCTGGAGACAGCCTTACAGGGCCTTGTTTAGACGAGCTGGAGGAAAGTTGTTGCTCTTAGAATTGGGGATGGATGTTGCTTCAATGACGAAGGCAGGGGCTTGAGTCTTGAGGATGTTGTTTATTTTTCGCCTGCAGGGTGCTCGTCTATGAACACTGTCCATTGGCAGCCCGAATCAGCTGCAGGCCTGTATCACGGGCCTCGGCTTGTGATGGGAGCTTGAAGAGGGGCTGGTTCTGATAGGGAAGTGGGCTTCGTGAAGGAAAGGAAGGGGGGGGGCTTGATGATTTGCCGGGCTTGGGCTTGATGATCAATTCAAAAAACCCTTTGCTTACAAAGAACAGCTATGCTGCAAACCTGCTGCGCCTACTCATCTCACGACTTCATCAGCAAAACCCCCCCTTCATCAAGCCCCCGCTCCCGCCTTCACCATCATGAACTGTCTCCCATCAAGATGAACTGTCGCAGCATGAGGCCCGCCACCCCTCTAATCGGCGTGTCTGACCAGCTGGCATTCATCCGAATTGCTTGGCAGCTCAGGGGCAGGATCTGTTTTCGCCCTGCGGTTCACGACCTCTTTTCTGCGACGTAGTACCTCTCTTTCCAGAAGCTGTTCGTGTCTGGGTACAATCTCCAGAAACATCTCCAACTTCTGTATGTGGTGGCGATGAGTTGCGGCAACGGGCGGCGAGCCTTTGCCTCCAGGTGATCTCATGGATTGGAAAGATTGCGAGGGTTCAATGAAGTCAACCGAATCCTCGCGAGTTCCTTTCAGCACCAGACAATGAGGATCGCGTGGACCTGCGCGAGACATCGTTGTGGCACCGCAGCCCATGATGGATCAGCAAACCGAGTGTCCCAATACTTGGGCCGAAATGACATCTGGCAAGGTACGCCATGACCAGCAAATACCGTCGAAGTACTCTCTCCAAAGCAATACAAGGCTCCTGAACTTGCTCACTTCGGCACAAGGTCCTCTGTTTTTTGGGGGAGAGGTGGTTCGCTGGGAGATTCCGCGCTCTTATTGACTTCTGGAGCTGCCGGGGTCTCACCAAATCATACTGATGCTTGCGAGGGATCCATTTCGCACCTTTTTCAGACTCCCAAGACTTTGACTTCAACGTAAACGCCGACAAAGCCGACAAACATTATGGTTTCGTGGTCGGATTTCGTCAGTGCATTACGGCTTGAGCTCCACTTCGACAAGCTCTCGATGGGCGAGTGTTAGGATCCTTTCACCGACGGCAAGTGATCGACCCCACGTGATCTGCTTGTGTCCAAATTGTGACGGTGGCCTGTGGAAAAAATATGGGTTTCATACCTCATATCAAGTACGTATGCAAATGACCAATAATAATAATAATTAAAAAAAGAGAAACAAGCACAGGGAGCAATCGGCCGACAGCGCGTGATCGAAAAAGCGGTGCGGCATCAAGACGAAAGCTTGGTGTGACATGTAGGGCCTGTGCAAAGACCTGTGACATGAACATGGCATGAAAACACAACGACACTTGTATCATGTTATTTAGGCTCCTGAGCGTGTGTACAATAGTCAAAACAAGCCATGCACAATAAATGATCATGCTTCCCCGGAGCATTTTCCTGTCACACCAAAGCCAGCAAACACGGACCCGGCCTCCTCTGCTCCGTGTCGCAGTAGGCAGTTGTGCTGGATACCTAAGCCGGAGCCTTGCAATCGAACGCCTTTAGGACTATGTCAACGATGAGTCCAGAACCCATCACGTATTCGATATCATGTGGTGTTCATCGTCTTTTCAATGGAACATGGTTCTATGAGTGTTATCAGTGGAATGCTTCTTAGTATCCCGCCAAAAAAGAAAAAGGGAAGAAACAAACAATAACATTTAAAATAAAGCAATATAAAACAATCTAAACCAATGTTAATCCTACCTAACTACTCCACTGCATCATATGTTGTTGTTCACCAGTCACCTAGGAGTCGAACGTTTTTATTTGTCTGCATCCGCCTTAATCTCCGGAGGGTTGGGCTGAGGTATATACCGTTGTTGCTTAAACATTGTCCGTGCCAATCAAACCTTGTGCGGAATGAGAAGCAGTAGCTGGAACACGGCGCATGCCATTAACGAAGAAAACTTGATGTTCGGTCCACTGGGGAATTGCCACGGTCAAAGTTCCTTGCAAGAGGTGTTGTTTGTTGCCAAATGCGTGAGTCTCGCCCACAAGCCTGTCATCCTGGGCATGATTGAAAGTGAAATAACGAGATGTTGAGTACTGGCTTCTTTGCTGCCAGCAAACAAGTTTCAGCAATGTGGGCCGATCCCGCAGTCACAATGGAGGCTGGTTTGCTCTGCCGTCCTCAAGGCGCAAACGCATTGTCTAAGGTGCCCACTAAATGGGTGCATGTAAAAGTCCAAGATCTCACGCAGCTTCCTGGGCGGAATGCCGCAAGGGAATCCCTTGGACTATCTTGCGCAGAACAGCTTGGGCAGAGAAACTTGCACAGAACCACTTGCACAGAGCAGCAAGTTGCACAGAGAAACTTGCACAAAGCAACTTGCCCAGAGCAGCTTGTGCAGAGCGACTGGAACGAAGCAACCTGCAAAAAAGACTTGAACAGAGTGTTCGCGCTTGGAGTATATAGAGCCTGTGCCAGTTGCTCTGTGCAAGTAGTTGGAATGCGGCTCATAGATGGCCGTGTGTCAGAATGCACATTTGAGCAGGCTGCCTCCGCTTGGGGCGTTTCGCGGGGGGGGGGGGGGTTCCTGGGGCATGGTTCCGGGCAGGTCGACCGCTCCCGAACCCCTCCTCGTCGATTTGATACATATATATATATACATATATGACCCAGTATCAAGACACGATCGACTGACAAATCTCGTCAACCGGCACCCCTCTCGCGTCTGAGTGTTTTCAAGATAGAAGGCGAAGTAAAAGCAAAAAGTTTATTCCCAAAACATTTCCACGCAAGGTGGCTCTTGAAATGTTCGGCGTGGTCGGTGTGCTAAAGCTGAGAACTCTTGTGATTTCTCGCCATCGTCGCGGGACCCTTTGCGGGGATCGGTGTGGTGGATGTGCGAGCTATGGACCTTGACCTTTGCTATTTTGTTATGCTCCCGGATTAACCTTTGAAAACTGTCACAAATGCTTGCAGGCCGATGGCCCTGTAGTTAGGTTCCAAGGTGAAAAAGTAAACCCTGGATGACAGGCGTGGCTTAAGAGGAGCCTCCAAAAGAAAACCTGCGCCAAATCAGATTCAGACCGGTGCCCTGGGATGGTGCTTTCCACCCTCTCCGGCCGTGCATCAAGTATGAAAGCCACTCCGAAGTTTGGCATTCAGTGCTGAGTTCTCTGAGGAAGGCTCGGCTGAAATCAAAACCTGCAGCTTCTCGCTGTTACAACGGAGATTCAAATCGATGAGAAAGGGGAGGTGTCTTCGGCAACTCAGGAGACCGACCGAAAACAGGGGGAGACAAGCAACAGTCTCGAGAGCGGAGTCCTCAGTGTCTTTGCGCAGCACCTGCGGGTGGGCATGCCGATGGGTAGGGATTCGTGCAAATTTTGGCAGCCTGTCACTCCTTCCTGACCGAATGCTCAGTTCCTGAGGCGTTCCTCTCTGTTCGAATACATGGATTGAGAAATGGGTCTGAAAGCATTCTGAACATGGGGCGAACACTGCTCAGAAATAGGTTGGGGTTGGTTTCGAACTGGTTCAACGAGATAGATTGGGAATAGGAATAGTTCAAAAAGGGATGGGGAATGGGGCAAGAATAGTGGGGGAACGGATTGGGAATAGCACGCAAAGATAAAGCTGCTGTCCATCAACATGCCGCGGACCTGTTCCAAGCACTACGATCCATTCCCAAACCATTTCTCCCGGTGTGTTCAAAAAACAACGGGACTTGTCCAGCATGTTGCGCCGAATGAGAAGGGGGCCTCACAAAGGGTCACCATTCAAGCTACCCCCGCCAAGCGTCCAGTACCCGCCTGCTCAGTGAGTTGTTGGTTTGGAGGCCACAGTCATGGGAATCGCTGGTAAGTTCTTGTTGCGGCCACATCATGGAGCACTTGGATGCAGCTCAGCAAAGCAAACTTCCTAAGTTGCTTCGGTTTCGCACAAATTGAAGATGTCAGCTGCCACTCGAAGCAAAGCAAAAAAAATGACCGGAATGTGCAAGTAAGTTGTTGCAACCTGTGAGAACATGGTGCCAGTGTTGGGTTGTGCCAGGCCACATTGAGACGAACATTGTGGTGGAGTCGGTGGAATGTCATTAACGATGTCACGTCACGCATGATGGGTTGCCTCTAAGGTAAAAGGTCGGCTCAACCAAAGCAACTGCCCCATTGGTTCGCAAGCGCCTCTCCCGGTCCTCGTCAGCCCACGTACCTGAGCCTGGCATCTCGAGAATCTTCCACAATGGACACGCCTTCCATGAGGGGCCCTCTCTGCGTGTCATTTGGAGGTTTTTGTCCACCAACCATTTGGTCAGCGAATTCCAACTCGAAAACATTCATAACCCCTTCCCCCTAACCAGTAGAATGGCAAAGCCAGTTGGCGCAAGATTCACAATACAATGATATATTATTCACTTTGTCTTGTTCGTTATTGTTCTTATCTTTATCTTTCTCTTCGCCTTCCCTTGCTCCTTCTCTTCCTCTTTTCTGTCTCTTTCTATTTTGCGCGTTACTTCTTTCTTCCTCTTTATCTTGCTCTTCCTTAGTTATCCACTTCTCTTTCTTTCTCTTCTCGTACTCTTTCTCTTGCTCTTTCTGTTGTTTCTCTTCTTCTCCTTCTTTTCTTTTCTCTTTCTCTTACTCTTTCTCTTCCCCTTCTCTTTCCGTTTCTCCGTCTTTCCGCTTATCTTTTCTCTCGCTCTCTCTCTCTTTCTCTCTGTCTCTCTTTCTCTGTCTCTTCTCCTGCTCTTTCTCTTCTCGTTCTCTTTCTCTTTCTCTTTCTCTTTACGTTTCTCCTTTGCGCCTTTGTCTCTTTCTCTTTCTCTGTCTCTGTCTCGACCTATTGAACTATCTATCTGTCTATCTATCTACATATGGGCATTCTCCAGATCTGTCCGTGTACCAGCTTATGTGTCTAACGATTCTGTCTCTCTATCTCTGTAGATCTCCATCTCTCTATCTCCCCTCTCTATCTTCTCATCTATCTAGGTATCTATCAATCTATCTATCTGTCTACCTATCTATCCTTTCGAGCTTTGTATCTGCTTATCATCTCGCCAATGGGAGCTGCGACAGGTCCCAAAAAGCCGCCCCCGTCGCGCAATCTGCGCCTGAGTCTGCAAAACACGGCGCCTGCCACGAAGTCAACACCTGAGGCTGCCAAATTGTTGCGCCTGCAATCTGTACCTCAACTTGCGGAAGTGCTGCGCGTGTCACGCACAACTCACGTCCTGAAAAGCGTGTGCCAGCGGGCCTGGGTCCGACCCCATTCCGTGCCTGTTATTGATCAGGCATCGCGAACGAGGTAGCTGTCAAGCAGAGAGGGACACTCTGCTTCGCGGTTTCTATTCCCCCACCACCAGCCCATGCAGGCCTTCTTTCTTCATCCTTCACTTAGTCCCCGTATCCGTAACAGGAAGTTCCTTCTAAACTTCCTTTGATAATACATATGGCCCCCAAGCCCAAACAATATTTATTAGTTGGGTAATTAGGGGTTGACCGGATTTCCTCTTTGGTCCTCGTCAAAATGGGCTCCCCCTTCTCCAGACACGAAAACCGTGAGTAACGAATTGAAGCAAAACCGTTCACGGTTGTTGTTCTTCGTTTTTGCGGTTCAAAAGTAAAAGGGCACAAATTAAATGTAGAATTATCACTAAAGGCATAGACTTAAATTAGTATCAGGAAAACATGAATTTAGGGTTTGGAATACCCCTGGGATGGGCGCGAAATCGGCAGGTTTAGTCTTGTCTGAGAATGAGCGTATTCTCAAAGTATTGGATCCGGGGGTCTGGAAGTGACGATCTGTTAGTTCGTTGGGTGCATTTAATAGGGAGAGGGGAGTAGCCGTATAGGGTGCGTCCGAAACTTGGAACTGGATGGCCACGCCGATCTCGCAACGTCCCGCGCATGGGACAAAGGATCTCGTTCAAGCGCAAAGAATCGCTCTACTTTCTGGGAACGGCAACTGGGGGGCCGGCGGATTGTCATGTCAGCATTCTGTCAACTGGACTTCTGCTTGCACTGGATACAGTAGCTTGTGGAGACTGGGTGGCTCGTCTTAAAACAACTTGGGGAAACAACTCCTCATTGGCATGAAATCAGAAACACGCTGGGTGGCCGTCTGGAACGACTCCAAAATGACGCACGTCTGCAGTTCAAAGCCTGCGTTGCCAATGCCAATGTGGCTACAGTAAATAGGCAAATGCCCCTACACGTCACGTGTCGCCTGCCTCCCTTGACGCGGCGGGTGATGAAGTTCATCCTCGCAAACATTTGTGCAAAAGGCTGTGCAACGTGTGACGATCACCTCCGACTTGCAAATTTGATGAAACGGATGCACAGTGTGTCACAATGATGCACACGTTGGGGCAAAAACATGAATGATCCCGTCCAGGACACCCACCAGTTGAATGATCTTTATGATGTATGTAATATGTATACACTAACATACAAATGTGGAAGTCGACACGAATCCTAAGTTTTGGGATCGCCCTGAAAAACAGCAGATCACTGACATGTGCTGAGCCTGACTTTTTGTGAAGTCTGGTGGCAATTCCGTACGCTAATAAGGCTTATGAGGGTCTAATAGGGTTTCCTCCTCCCCGACGGGGGGGGGGCCTGACAACCATTGGCATAATGTTTTGGTGGCATAGTGATGCCTATGCGTGACACCACTTCCTTCTCAGGAGTTCATCTCGTTCATTCCTCGATCCGATGTATCTAGTTTGCCAAGTACACTAAAAACCGGAATTGCACAAGCAGGCGCGATTGTTCTGTGGCCACCACCCATGCCTTGGACTTAAATATCCAGGACAGGAACTTGGCAAGCAAAAATACGCAGGAACGGTAACCAACGAGTGCCAATGATTTCCACAGACTTTTGTCTTTTCTCTGGTGGTAGGCAATGTGGGGCCCGTGCACCAAACAAATGTTCTCCCCCACACCACACCGCACTTTTCACACTCCGCACTCCACACACTCCACACTAACACAGAGTCCCTGCACTCCCTGCACACTCCACAAAATACACTCCACGCCCCACCTTCTCCACTACCCACACGCCACACTCAATCATTTCTCACAATATCAATCATGCAAATGAATCATGTATCAGTCGTTGCCGCAAGCAAGCGGGTAGGTACAATGGTGGAACCCAAACCAACCTAAATCAAGCTAAACTAGCCTAAATCCACACCTGAGGGGGAGGGTTACTTGTCCGTGAGCATTGGGGAGGGGGGAGCAGGGCAACGCTTAGCAGCAATGCTGGTCTGGCCCCCCATGAAACCTGACACGCTGCAAATCTTAGCCGGTCAGGTCGGCCTTTCGCGGTTGCTGGGCACGGACATCAAAAGGGGCGGCCTCGGGAAAAAACCCACACTCTATCCCTCGAATCTTAGGGCAAAACACCGACTGTCAGAAACGACTCTTTCCAACTCTTTTCAATGCTGCACGTGGCCTCAGCGAAGCGGAAAACAGCTGCAAACGACTTGAAACGGTCGTCCTAGCTTGTTTGGCGTGGTTTGCAGAATAAGGCGAATTCAGGATCCACCTCGTGTGTTTCGAAATGATTGCAAAAAAGTTCACGTATCTCATTGAACGCACGGCGCCCACCCAACACAGACTCGAATCTGCAGGGCAACATTTACAAACAAATCGCATGATCCAAAAAAATGGTAGCTACTGAACGCTGTATTTTCTGGATGCTTGGGTGATCTGCTGTGGCGGTGGCCCCTTGAAAGTCCGCATGGAAATGAGCTCAGAACCACAACACATGCAGGAACCTTTGGCTACACGTGGCTGGAAGGCGCTCAGGTTTGAGGTTAGCAAAACATACTTGAAACGGCCAGGCATCCTCCAAAACAGCAAGGAAAATGCACAGGGATGTCCAAGCCAAAAATCCGTGATATGAGAGACGTCTTCCACTGAACAGTGCTGGTAGCATGCACAGGGGGGCTTGCCATCCTGCTCTGCAGTCTGAAAATACGCTCTGAAAGCACCTGTCGCCAGGCCTATGCGACTTACGCGAACAACGTACATCTATCTCAACATGCTGAAATTCGGAAATGTTTGAGGGACAAGCTATTCAAAACAAGCGGATTGATCAAGATCAACCACACGGATTGATCGGTTGACATGTTGCTCGTGCTTTCACCGAAGGTTGTCCTGCCGCTGTGGGTTGAGTTTCCTTCCTATCTTGCTCATCTGAGCTTGTCTCTACCAAGTCTGGCCGGAAGATGTTGACATCAGCTTCTTTGACACGCAATCACACATTGCAGGCAAGACTACAACTGTCTGTCTGTATCTGATGATTGGCCATGTTCATTATGCAGCTTGATCTTGTCCTTGCTATGACATGAGCCAGCTTACATTCTGGCGTCATTGAGTCGTTGGATGTTGCTTCTGTTGCATCGCATTTGTGCTGTGGATGCAAACATCGCCAAGAAGCAACAAGATGTCAATCCGTTTTTTTGATGCTCCAAACAGCCCCCACATGGCGCGGTCACTTTGCATACGTGGCGCATGGGGTGAGGGAATCACGTGGAACAACAATGCAAACTTTGGATCTCCGAGTACAGGTAAAGCCCCTCGGTTTCTGAAAGCATTAAAATGACTTTGGTTCTGGAGCATTTCAACATGGAAATACCATCAGCTGGACAAAAGGCTACTACAATGCAAGGGGTCAAATCAGAGTGTTTGCATATATGGTCCCATCCTCCGCCCTCCTAACCCCCCCCACCCCCCCCCATGGTATCCCCCTGACATCTTCGTGGCAGCAGCGCTGCCCTGTACGCAGCAAACGGACGGGCCCCTTCCCGTGGCTCCCCTCAGCCCACCTCAGCTTTGTCTCGCCGTTGTCCAGACTATAGACCTCCAAGTCCACGCCACGCACGGTGCCAAACGCTTGCGCGTGCACCCAAGTGCCGTAGGTGTGCGGCTTGGACATGTACTCAAAGTAGGCGTCCCACGAGAAGTGTCCCTGATGCTCCTCCTGCCGCAGCAGGTCCTCTTGCATCTCTACCAGTACCTGCGCCTTCAGGATGTCCTTGCCAGCCGGCCCACTGCGCTCGTTGCACGTGCGCATGTGCAGCAGGATGCCCTTGCGCAGCTCCAGCGACTGCTCCTGCTACACGCTTCTGAAAAGCTGCCCCTTTAGTGCAGTGAGTGACGCAAGTAAACTCACGCTTGCCCTAAGCACTTCAAGTCCAGAGTAAAGTGTTTCTCCCCCGTCTCCCCAGCGCCTTGTTGTCGTCCAGCCCCGCAGGCGCCACCCCGCTGAGAGCTTGCAGGCCCATGTTCAACGCCCGAAACAGACAGGCGCCGTCAGTCTTGGCCGCGATGCACTGGAAAGAAAGACCTGTTGGGAAGCCTTTGCGCTTCAAAGGTGACGGGGTGCAAAGCATCTTCGCCTTTGGGGTGGGGAAGTGGCGGGAGAGCACGAGGCATTGCCTTCGGGTTGCTCTCGTGCTTCCAACATGTGGCCCCGCTCTCGTCGTCCACCACTTCTACAAAGCCTTGGCTCACCTGCTGAACTGTGAAGCGTTTGACGCGCCCATCCTTGGTCTCAAACTTCTGCGGGCCGGTGCGGGTGACGTATTGCGTGTTGCGAGCAATGACACTGTCACTGCTGAGAAGGGGCATAGAACTAGTGGCACTCTTCTTCCGAAGCCAGCGGAGCTGTCACTGCATCTTGCCTCGGAGCTTCTTCGAGTTCATCGCGGCTCAAAGCGGGGCTACCACTGCGCGCAAGCTGTCAGCCTTCTGCCTGATGCTGCCCTTCGCCAACTGATCGGAGTCCAATGTAGTCGAGCCACTCTTTCTCGGACAGCGGCACGGCAGCGGCACTCTTTCTCGGACAGCTGGAGATTCTATTCCAGCGGCTCTCAACTGGGCGGAGACTGCGCCAGAGGGCCTCAGGCGAAATCCCAACTGCGGGCGCGGGCTTTGAGTTGTACGCTACCACCGCACTTAGCAGGCGCTGGCGCTGACCACCATGCGCTGCATCCAGGATGCGGTTGTAGACCTCGACCAACCCGTTGCTCTGTGGCCTCCCTTGCGGAATCGTGCGTGGCTTCACACCCAAGCTCTTCTCAATAGAGAACGTTCCGGAACTGGCCCCCGTTGTCAGTCCACGTGACAACCGGGAGCTCGTGCCCAGCAAAGAATCTGAGCATGATGTTCTGGACGGCCTGCAATGTGGCACTCTTGAAGTCGATGTCCCAGGCCCAAACCTGCAAGGATCCACACTTGTAGGAGATTCTGAGAAGCACACACTGCCCAACACAATTGTTTGCCCGGCCGCGCCTTGGGAGTGGTGCAGCAAACTGCCAGCAGCATTACCCACCTCTGGCCGCTGGCGGGAACCACCGTTTTGAGGTCCCACCCAACACAGTCGCCGGCTTGGCCCGGTGTAGGAAGGTGCCGAGGACGAGGCTTTGCTAGATCACGACAACTGCTCACCCTGCACTCCTGCGCTGAAATCTTTTCGAACATGAGAATTTGGGAGGGGGCTGCCTGGCCAAAACGTAACCCCAACCCCAGTCCTCGCACCGATCGACAAACCACTGAGCGTCAAGCTTGAGGTTCACCCAGCAATGATCAACATCGCGGAGAGCAGCCACCAAAGCATCCCTCCCACCCATGTGCGACAAGTCCTGGTGCGCGGCAGACAGGAGGGCAAGTTTCCGTTCACCTGTCAAGCCGCTTTGGTCGGACTTGGATTCCAGTCCGGACAGCTTTGCTGGGCCAGCATGGCTTGGTAGCTCTTCACGTGCTCAGACGGCAAAGCCAAGGCTGGCGCCCCAGGCCTGCGAGAACGCTCTGCAGCGAAAGCTTGTTGACGCTCGCCCTCCTTCATGGCAGAACACTCCGTGCATTGCGACCCGGTCCTCAAAGGCTGCTGCCACTGTGTTTTGGAAAACTCCTCCTTCGCCTTCTCCTCGCCGCAGGTTTTGCAGGCGCGCGCACGCTTTTGTAGCGCCAATGCACTGGCAGCGACGCACACGCTGCAGGCGCCCACTGCGACTTGCTGAAGGCTTCCCTGGGGCACTCGACCTTGCACTTGCAACACACCTTCTTGGGCTTGGCTCGTCGCTGCAGTCGCTCATCCACAGGCCGGCACTGCAGGCAGATACCACGAGGAAGGCCCCACTGAGTTAGAGCAAATTCTGAACGCTCTTTGGTCACTTCACACTGAGGACACTTCTTGCACTCTGCGGAGGCGCCGGAAGCTTGTCTGCCAAGGCTGCAGCAATTATTTGCTGCACCTGGGGGCCTGTTACGTAGTCTCCGGCTCTGGCAGAACTCGAAGCAACCAACTGCTGAGGCTTGGGGGCTGCAAGCACCGCTCGTGCTTGGCTTCCCAGAACATGCTCACGTGCTTTGGTCACCGTGAGCAGCTTGTAGTACTCCTAGGCAAGCGGTGCAACTCACCCGCGCTGACGAAAAGTCACAAACAATGGTTCAGAAAAGCTTTGACAAAAGATGCGGTCCTGGTTTGGCCTCTCTGCAGTTAGCTGCAAGTCACAAGCAACGTGCCAGTCATTGCCAGATCGATCCACAGCCCGAGGTTGGCCTTGTGGACCCACGTGCACTCGACCCCCTTCAACACTGAGCTTTGGAGTAGATTGTGCTTTGGACATACGCAGCCTCGCTCATGTGTTGCAAGCAAGAGTGCATAATCGTTGCGCGATTGGCCTTCCCGGGCTTCCAGTTGACGGGTCCTGGCAGGCGACCCACCTGAGACACCTTCGCACTCCGCATGTCAGCCCCAAACGCATTTGTGGCAGTCGCGGCATCTTTGCTGCTAGGCCTGTCATCCAAGGTCAGCCAAACCTGGAAGCACTTGTGAGAAGTTTCCACCACAACTCTCGGCTGCAACTTGAGGACTCGGTCCAAGCTCCCCTTGAAGTTGTCCAAGTCCATCATCGCAACTGTGGACAGATGCGGCCGCACAAAGAAGTGTGCCTTGAGCTGCAGCCACCGCCGAAGCTCGGACAGAAGCTGCTGTGTGGAGACTTGAGGTCTTGAGACGATGGCCTCCTTCCTGCCAGGGTCAAGCAGAAGGACGTGCCAACTCTTCGCCTCTGGGAAAACCTGCACGAACTGGAGAGCGCCGGCATGATCCTTCACAGGGAGTGGCTGACCCGTTTTCTGTTGCCGGCTGCTAGGGCAAGTCCCAAGAAAACGGCGCACCAGCCCTCCCACGTACGGAGTGCCCTGCCCTGCCTGGCTCTGAAGTGTGCGGGCGTGACTTGCCATCCTCCTGCAGGGGCTGTTGGGCCCTGAAAGCAAACAGGCTCAGAAAAAGTGGTGGGCGGGGGAGCGACAAGCCAACAACCCCAATCTTCAAAACCCGTCTCCTTGACACAGGTCGCCGGGTGGTAGGAGAAGCTCAGGAGCCGCGCAGCAACAGTCAAGGACTCAACTCCAACGCCAACGTTCCAAGCCACAGGGTCCCACAGGGGGAGGGGGGGGATGGGGGGGGGGCCGGGGCGGGGGTTGAGGGGCTGGACCATATATGCAAATAATAAGGGGGAACAATTCGTTACTAAACTCAATGCCAGGAGGAAGTTGGGTGGTCCCCTATCAGTTTTTGTTGCCTTGGGCTAAAAAGGGGCGGTGTCGGTCTTGAGTGTTGCGGGCTTTTGCTGATGTTGCTAACCCCAAGGCACCCCGAACAGCAGACTGCCAATGTTTTCTCGGATACATGGCTGAGCCTGCCGTGCTTCGGTTCAAAGTTGTGAGTTGGCAAACAAACCAGTGGATCATGGAACTCGGACCTCTGAACTGACATCTTCCACAACATATCCCACGAGCGCTGATGAGAACCTGACAGTGCACGTCCACCTAGTACGACTGCCCGCCAAAGCCATGATTCATAGAAACCTACGCAAACTCCTTGAGTTGGGTGGATATCTTGCCAATTTCCTGCATGTCCTGGTTCACTGATGCTGAAAGTTTTGGGGTGTCTGCCCAAACAAGCTTTGTGGGTGGAATGGAGCAGCTTTCAGGGAAGGAGTTTTCTGGCTGTTGGGATACCACCTGCTCCGAGCTCTGGCACTCGCTGGGCTTCTGGCAGCCAGGACCTTTGCCAGCCCCGCATGCGCCTCAAACTCTTTGGTCGTGTCCCTTTTTGGGTGGACCAATAAAAAGGCGCAACAGTGTTCTTGCAAACCACCTAAAAAACTATCTCTTCGGCTTACTGTACCTGTTTGTTTTCCTGTGCCACCCAAAAACAGGGTGCTACTCCTCCCAAAAATGAGCCAAGTGCAGGTTTGGCGCACATAAAACAAATGAGAGACTGGCACCTTTTGGAAAGAGGGTCTGTGCACTTCTACGTTGTGGAAGGGTAGCGTCTGGAAAGGAAAACACCAACACGACTCAGCGTGCTCAGCGTGGGCCACACAATGGCGGCTTTGCATATGATATGGCTTCTGGCAAGAATCATCAAGGACACATACAAGAACATTGCGGTGGACAACAGGATAGTCATGCTATGGTGATGCCAGTGTTGCCCGCGCAAGCCTTGGCAACCACACAACAACAACCCCACCCACCCCAACAACAGACCCACCCACCCCAACAACAACCCCCCCCAACCCCCCACAAACCCAACCTCCCACAAACTCAACCCCCACAAACCCAACCCACCCACCCGCAACCCAAACCACCGAAACCCAACCCGCCAACCAACCAACCCAATCCACACCAAACCCAACCCACCCACCCATAAACCCAAACCACAAACCCAAACCACCCACCCACAAACCCAAACCACCCACAAACCCAAACCAACCACACCAGAATTCTGCGGCTTACATTTCAGTGGCCTGCCTTCCATGAGTCTGGCTTGCAAGTACATGTATACCGCATACGAAATTCAAGTGTAGTTACACCTCAAGCGAGGACAAGCGATACTCCCACAACACCATACCTGGTTGCAACTCACTTGGAAGACTTGTAATCCCGGTACCTGGGCTATACTCAAGGTTGCTACCCACTTACTGAGCAAGCTACCCCTTCATGGTCACAATCAACCATGTTCTGGTATCAAAGAGGCTCTAGGTACTAGAGTACGGCTCCCTGGCGTACCGTCACCCAGTCCAGCTTGACAAAGAGCGCACACGTGCACAGACCACTGAACAGGGATTCCACAAGGTGCAACTGAGCCGCCCTGAAAGGCGTGAAAATAGGGGTTGGTTAAAATCGGGCTTTCCTTTTGTGCCTTTTGGGTTCCCTTGAAAGCCCCGCTTGGGTTCCCTTGAAAACCCCCAAAAGGCGACCTCCAACACTTTCTCGCCATCTTCGCCCCCGGCACGGTGAAGCTCAAACAGTCGAACTCCAGCTCCTATGGAGCGGCAGAGGGAAAGCATCCCCAAGGGGCTCAAATCCCCAAGCCACACCAAAAGAGTTACCTGGTTGGTAGTGAAACAAACACATCACTTTGTAGCTTCCCTTCAATACTTCCCACAATGAGGCTTCGGCACGCTTCCGATGGTCTACCCAAAACTCACTCTATGCAAAAGGTGATGTTAGAAACTGCCCAACGAAAACTCTGGGGACTCTTGTAAAAGTGAGCAAACATGGTGTAATTGCAGAGAACATGTGGCAAGATGAAACAGAATGACAGCAAAGTCATTGCCCCCGTTGATTGCTCGGGGAATCGATTGCACCAGCTCTATGGCGTTGAATCAAGTGAAGTACTGTAGGGTTCCTTGTGAGCAAAATCCGCAATGAGTATATCTGCGCCATGGTCAAAATTACTTGTTCAAAGGACACAGAACATTTAGTGAGGCACCTGGTTTTGTGGGATCAACGGTTGTCACCGCGACATTTCCCTTTCGTCCAAAAGGCTTGCCCCGGAGATTGAAAACATGAATCCACCGTCAAATCGCTTCGCCTTGAAAGGGAAGGCTAAGTAGAAAGGCGGCCAGGAACTCCGCTTCAAGCTGTTTTCTTACAATTGGATATGGATCTGTCTTTCTTGTTGTTGCCCTTTTTGAGGTTGCGTTAAAGGGCAAACCAAGGGGAAACCCACTATTCTTGGGGGGTCCCCCATTTCAAGACAGACCCATTTCAGCTTCAATCCAAATCAAAATCGAGATCCATCTTCGCAGCGTCTCCTCTGATCTGCTCAAGGCTTCACGCCTGAGATTCGCCACATGTGCCAAGGCGTAGATGCGAAACGAACCGCTGCCAGCATGTTTAAACTGCTGACAGGAGGAGCGCACTCAAAGGGGCTCTCTGCAATTATTTTTGTAGTGATTGAAGTTGCTCTTGCAACAATGAATTGTGTTGTGGTAGTTATGTTGTTCATAGCACAGAAGCATATCTGGAGCTAGAGAGGCCTCGCTGCACACATCGTTTCTCTTGATTGCTTCAAGGTTATTGTATAGAGCACTAGCAAAATACGAACTGAACACTTGCTCTACCGCGGAAACCTTTCATGTTAGGCAGTTCCAGAAAGGAATAATTTTGTCACCTCGCTGTTCTTGTGTGCTGCGCCGCAGGCAGCAAAGCTTGATAATAGCGTGGCTGTTTCCAAAAAAACAACTAAACATGGGCGGCTTCATTTTGCTTATATCATTTTCATGTTGTTCAAAAGGGTGTCCCCATTTTTAAACATCCACGAGCCCACGAACGTCGAACCGAAACTGACTTTCTCCACGCCAGTGATATCAGCGACCCCACCCCATTCCCCTCAGACACACAGTTTTACTACAGACCACCCTAGTGGCTCCCGACACTCAAGCTACACGTGAACAAATCCCTCCCTCATACAGCGAATTCGACGAACTTAGGTGTGCTTTTCTGTGTTCTCACCAACATGCAACCCACCAGAAGGTTTCTTTGACAAGAATATGATCTTTTAGGGACAAAACCCTTCAGTTTTTTTGTGCTCAGCAATCCGGGAACGATCAAAATCCCATCCGAGCGAACGGCACTTGCTGCGGCGTCAGCCGGACGCTGCCCAGGAGTTGCTTGCCCTGAGCGAACAAGCACAACAGGGCCCCCCACACTTTAAGTTTGCCCAAAGGCGATGCTTTGAAATCATCAAGAGCAGAAACATAGTGAAACCTGCACAAGTCCGCTGTAAGCGGCACTGGGTGTCCAATCACATCGACCGATTGTTGAACTGAGTCGCCCATCCTGTCAACCCAACAGCTTAAAGGGGGGAAAAAAGGCTATTTGGGCTTTAAAAAAAACATGCAACTGTCTGTCCCTTTGATTTCCCTTCTTTACACTATAAAAAGGGGACTTTACCAATTTCTGAAAATCTGAAAACACTTCTGATACCTTTATTAGCCTGCATGCCGTTCATTCGGGATTCGAACTGCCCAATTACCGTCAAACATGCTGACATCTGCCCAATTATCGTCCGGGCTGTTTTTCGGGGGACCCTTTCAGCAGCTGGATTGATTATTCCAACGCAACCGCACCTCTGATGAATTGCCGGGAGTCAAGGAGGGTCAACAGAAAGCACCGGGGTCACTATCACGAGCGACGACTGGCTAGGGTAGACTGCATGCGGAAAAGGGGTTGGCAGGTTGTGTCAAATGGAATTTGACACAACCAGCCCTCCAACAAATCAGTGGTTTTCTTTCAACAGAGGCACGAATTGTGAGTGCTTTGCACCTTGGCCTAAAAAGGTCTTGATAAGCTTCTATTCTGGTGGAACTGTGACCGGATGCGCCCATGGTGCACAGGATCAACTCACAGCCAGCATAGGCAACATATCAAACAAGGCACCGGCAAAGCCGATTGGAACGTCACATTGCTCGTGCAACGCTTCCGCCTTGACTCCTTTGGGCTTCGGTCAGCTTAGTCAGGCACACCACATCAATCAACGCGGACCTTCCATTGACGCCAAAAACGGCCGGGTTTGGCTCCAAATGGAAAGCTTGCAGTTCAGCGGCAAAAATCATCAAGCAACATAACAAGATGTGCTGAGTTTAGAATTACCAAAACCGGAAGTAACCGAAACCCATCTTCACGGAAGGCTTGGTTTTCCTCCTCGTCGAGGCCATAACATACGCACAATCATTAGAAAGGCCAGTGGGACCGGCGTCCACTCAATGGTCTTGGCAACTTCGTAGCTGACCCTGAAGAAAACCTGTCTAAAGCAGTGCCGTCTATTTCAACCCAAACCAACCTACAAAAAGAGACAATGTTCGTGACACTGTACATTTCCCGGCAGTGTATGAACATTGCCAAACCTCTGGCATCTTCATTACACTTCCGCCAATATGCGCCACATTTCCGCACAAAGAAACACTGACATACACCAATTCGATGTTGGGTTTTGTTGAAGAAACCCTGCTAGGTTTGTTTTACAGGAAACCCCAAAGGAAAACCATAGGAGTCTCCCGTGACTTCCTTAACTCCCCGGGCTCTGCGATAGTCCGGGCTGCGAAGTGGCGCAGCAGCCACGAGAGGGACACAGAACCTGCCGAAATGTCGGATGCCGGGCTCACGTCAGGTGTGGGATGGAGCCAAATGGACTGGACACACACACACACACACACGGGTTTGCAAAAAAAAACAACATGATACATCAGCGGTACCCAGCTTTGACACATTGTTTTGCCCAGCTCATCATGGGAGAAAGAAGTTGGCACAGGAGTTGCTCTGTGCGCTTGCCTGCCAAGTGGTACGAAGGGCAAGAGGGAAGCTTTGTTGCTTTGTAATCCTTGTAGCTCCACGAGATGCGACCATATCTTTGACAGACCCAACCAGTGTCATGACAATTGGTCAAGTGATTCTAGTGGATGGTCCAGATGTAACATGTTAAGCAAAAAAACATTGAGTTGCAAATCATTGTTCCCCAGCTGCGCGTGACCTTTGACATTCCTACACTCAGATACATTGTACCTGCATGGCATTGAAGCGAGTTGCATGCAAATGTTGCCCGAGGACAACGACACGCGGCCACAATCAAAGTGCTTTTGTAGCATACCGCTGTTCGCTGCACGTTGGTATTCAACGCTGCGGGCGACAAATATCAACACGGCAGGACTCTTGCGGCTTAATACTAAATTTGTTGGAACCCGCTCGCAGGAAACGCGGGATTATCTGAAAGTAGGGGAAGCCCCGAAATGGCGGTTGTTCCTTTGGCTTCTCTTGAAAACCACATCACAAGGCTATCAGGGTGCCAACAAATCAGTTTCGCCTCTAATGGGTGGTCTGAAGGTTGCGGGGGGGGGGGGGGGGGCAAACCACCAATCCAAACCACCAACTAAGAGGTACTAGAAGAATGGAATGCCATCCTCAACCACACACCCCTTCACGCTGGGTACCGCGCCTTGGCCTTGCTCAATCTTCTGGTGCAAGCCGCCTTCGGGACTCGCAAGCAGCCCCTCGAGGCCTTCCGAAAGCGCGCGGATTTCGGGCGAAAACCTCCCAGGGGCGTGCGGCTGTGTGAGGCCCCCCGGAAAAGGGTGTCACGCGCATGTCTCTGGGTGAAAAAGGAGTCATCTGGCCGCTCGCTTTCTGAGGGCTTCTTGGGTTGGTTCAAAGGAGACCAAAAGAAAAGCACCGTTTTGGGGGTCACCCTGTTTTGACATCAACCCGAATAGAAACCCTTGAGCGAGCGAAGCGAGTAATGCACCAAGCTGAGCGATTGTTGTTCTTGTCCAAATTTACTGAACAAGACGGGACGGAAGTCAGACACAACTACAAGCCATATCTTACACAAACTATTTGCAACCAACAAAAACACTACGTACATTCAATCAGTGCCCACATATGCGCGCAAACATGTGAGGCTATATAATACATTGACATGTTAGTGGTGTGTGAACGCACACATGACAGGCAAAACAATACACGCATAAACACAGTAGCTATCCACGTTGAAGCTCCGATCCCGTAAATCAGCACTCATTCTTGGTTGGAATTGATTGCAATCTTCGGTCAGGCTGCTGAGCTGCCACATAATTAAGCCTTCGCTTGCTGTAAGGGCATGACTAAACCAACATGGGTGAATTGTGCCATCTACTTTCGCCCTAGCTCACTTCCTGAGTGGATATCACTAGAATGGTCCAAACTCAAAAAGTAAGTTCAGGAACTCAGGAAGCGAGCAACTGGTAGATGATCACACCACCGGTGTCACACTGGCTTTCAGCCATTTGCTCTCGTGGCCACACTCCTGGGTCAATCAGCTGGCAAGAAGAACAAGGTTTCCAGTTTTCTTGCTGGGCTCCAGGAAATGAGGGAATGAACCCAGGGGTCCCCTTAAAGGAAACCACAAGGGAGGGTTTCTAGGGGTCATTCCAGTGTTCATTTCGTACTGAGCATCAGCAAGTGTTTCCACATTTGGCTCGCATCACCAAAAGGGAAGAGTGATTGACAAGCATGGAAGCTGCAAAACTGACTCTTGCTCCAATAGCTGAATTAAGAATCGGATCCCACGCAAATAACCCTTATCATGCTAGGTGAGCTCTATGACATAGGCAGATGCCATCCTGACCACTTGTGGTGCACGTTAGCTTCCTTTGTCGTTTGGGAAAGGGAGCCGCTTCCTTTCGCGTCCCATTGGGTCAACCGGACCCAACACGTTTCTGGGATCGCTTCATGCTACCCGACACCAACCACTTCTCACTTGCCCGGAGCGGGAAACCAAAAGAGATCGCCTAGTGGAACCTAGACTGGACCAACATGTGGAAACCAAAAGGTCAAAAAGGTTGGCTTTGGACAACTGACTGCTTCAGACAGATTCAGAACCGGGGTGTCTTGTGTGAGGGTAGTCCCATTCTTGAGTGGTCTTAAAAGGAAACCAACAGGATATGCACCATTTTTTTGGGGGGGGTCCCCTAACTCACCTCCCGAGTGGATGCTTTGGAAAAGTCCGAGCGGTATATTACCGGTAAAATGGTCCAAACCCAGTCCGCACCCAAACAGGATCAAGTCCAGGAACTCAGGAAGTGAGCTAAAGAAAGACGCGCTCGACAAACAAGACGCCGGCGCCCGGCAAAAAAAAAAACACATGCAACCTCCAGCGGCCTAGGCGGAGCCGCTCCCGCGCCGGGCGCAAAGTGAGGTGCGAGGCCTTCAATCGAAGTCCCACGGGGTATCGGTACCAGTGACGAACGTTTTGGTGCACAGCAGAAAGACGACTTTCCGCTTGGAAAAGGCAGACTTGGTGCACTTCCACGTTGGTTGGACTCTTTTTTTGGGTGGGTTACATAAACTTTGGAGGGCAACCAAAAGGACAACCCGCATTTCTGGGGAGTATCCCTATTTGGACACATGCCTAGATGGTTGCTTGCTCAGCTGGCTCAGTTCGTTTGCCGCGACCAGTGGTTACTTTCATTAGATACAAGGCTGGCATTCCGACGCCCGGAATGCAATTTTGGTTCTCTTTTCAGGGTGGTACACGAAGGGCAATGCGAAACCCCTTATGAGAGTTGACCCCCTTTTTGTGGCTGGCACTCTCGAAGTTTTGATTGGATTTTGGAGTCTAGATAGTTTATACTTAGTAAATTGCCTCGAAACATATCCCAAAAGGGAGCTTTTTTTTAAATATATATATATATACATATTTATGATCCTACATATTCACCGTGCTCGGGCTTCAATTTCCAGCGCAAATTGGAGCCGACGTGATCTTTTTTGGCTGCCAAAATAAGATGTGGCGCAAATTATTAGTGAAACACGGCGCACGTACGTAGGCACACACACTTGCAAAGGCATGCTTATCAATGTGCTTTAGTATATTGCAATGCGTGCCAGATCGTGTGAATGTGTGATAGGTTAGGTACATATGTGTCTGCAACTGCCTGTCTGTCTATCTGCCAGTCCATCTGTCTACCTTACCTGCCTCCCTGTCTGCACGTGCGGTGTTCCTTTGAAAGTATGGTGTAAGCTTCAGCACGAAGTCTCTACCAAGTGAGCGATAAGAATTCAACCGCGCGTGCTGAAGCGCTGCCGACCCCATCTGAGACACACTCACGCCCACTCGGGGATGCTAGCCGTCATGCTGTCTCAAGTGTTCGATAGCCCTCAGCGGTACACTTTGCTTCGAATATGCTCAGTGTGATGGAGCTGTTGATTCTACGCTTATGCAGGTACGTATGCATGTATGTATGAATGTGTGTGTAGGTACATATGTACTGTAGGCATGTAGGTATGTATGCATGTCTGTATGTCCGCATGTGTCTATGTGCGTGTGTGAGCCTGCATGTCTGTATGTATCTCTATCTCCCTGTATGTCTTTGCATCTGTCTCCCCGTGTGAGTCTGCATGTCCGTATGTATCTCTATCTCTCTGTATGTCTCTCCGTCTGTCTCCCCGTGTTTGTGCATGTATGTATGCGTGCATGTATGTAGATGGCTATAGGCAAGCAGGTCTGTGTTCAGGAATGTACGTACGTGTGTAGGTACGCGTGTACTTTTGTATGCATATGTATATATCTATGTATGTACGTATGTATGTATGTCTGGACGTATGTATGTATGTATGTATGTATGTATGTATGTGTGTGTATGTGTGTATGTGTGTATGTGTGTATGTATAAATGATTGTGTGTATGTATGTATGTATGTATGTATGTATGTATGTATGTATGTATGTATGTATGTATGTATGTATGTATGTATGTATGTTTGTTTGTTTGTTTGTATGTTTGTATGTTTGTATGTTTGTATGCTTGTATGTTTGTATGTTTGTATGTATGCATGTATGTGTGTAATTATGTATGCATGACTGCACGCATGTACGTACGTATGCGAAAAATAACTTTTGCGAGGCCCATTGCGAAACTTGCGCGGGGCTGTTTCAAGCGTTCATCAGAGAAGCAGTACAGGAAGTACACTACCGTAGCCCAAGGTCGAAAGTCGTAACTTTTCAATACGAAAGTGGTACACGGAGGACGCTTCTGCAGCCCCCGCCGCACTCAAATGGCGAAACTTTTGAACACGAAAGTAAGACAGGAAGTAAATTATCCGCAGCCCCAGATCGAAAGGCGCAGCTTTGCAACACCAAAATAGTACACAAAGTAAGCTTCCGCAGCCCCATCGCGAAAGTCGCAACTTTTCAATATCAAAGTAGTACGCGAAGCAAACATCCGGAGCGAAAGCTCAAAAGTCGCACACTTTTGTGATCCAAAGTAGTACGCGGAACCGCTTCCGCAGCTCCAGCTCACAAGGCGTGCTGCAGCACGCGGGGGTCCGGAAACTGGCGGGGAGGCCAATCGACTTTCGCAATCCTTTCGCGGATCTTACGCCAAACGTTCGCGAAAATCCGGCTGGAAAGCTGCACTCAGCATGGCCCGAAAAGTTTCAAAACTCCGACAAGCTGATTTCTGCTGGGGGGTTGCTTTTGCAGCGTCGTATTCTCGCGGAAACCCTCAGGCCGCGCTTTCCCCGACAGCTTTACTCTGTGCTCAGGACTTCAGAGGGAGTTTTTGCTCGAGCCCGCGCAATCAGTGCGTCGGGACCACGTAAAGTCATATTTTTAAAAAATCGTCGCCCTTTCGCGGTCCAATCGCCGGCCTTTCGCGGCTTGAGCTTCACCAATCGCGCGGTTCAACAAGTAGCTGCCAATGTTCATAAAAAATTAGACACGCAATTACGGACGGCCCCCATGTATGCATGCATACATGATGCATGCGTATGTATGTAGGTAGGTATGTATGTATGGAGGTATGTATGCGTGTATGTATGCATGCATGCATGTATGTATGTATGTATGTTTGTATGTTTGTATGTTTGTATGCTTGTATGTTTGCATGTGTGTATGTTTGTATGTGTGCGTGTTTGTATGTATGTATGTATGTGTATGTATGTATGTATGTATGTATGTATGTATGTATGTATGTATGTATGTATGTATGTATGTATGTATGTATGTATGTATGTATGTATGTATGTATGTATGTATGTATGTATGTATGTATGTATGTATGTGTGTGTATGTATGTATGCATGCATGCATGCATGCATGCATGTATGTATGTGTGCGTGTATGTATGTCATGTATGTATGCATGCATGCATGTATGCATGTGTGCATGCATGTATGCATGTACGCATGTACGCATGTAGCATGTATGCATGTATGCATGTATGTTTGTATGTTTGTATGTGTTTATGTTTGCATGTTTGCATGTTTGCATGTGTGTATGTATGCATGTATGCATGCATGTATGTATGAATGCAGGTATGCATTGCATGTATGCATGTATGTGTGTGTATGTGGGTATGTGTGTGTATGTGTGTATGTGTGTGTGTATGCATGTATGCATGTACGCATGTATGCATGTATTCATGTATGCATGCATGCATGCATGCATGCATGTATGTATGTATGTAATTATGTATGTATGTATGTATGTATGTATGTATGTATGTATGTATTTATGCATGTACTTGTGCGTACGTACGTGAGTATCTATAGTACTACACCAATATTGTACATATATGTGTACACCCACTATATGTAAGTACATGCTACGTGTGAGTATGTAAAACCCGAAGCTGAAAGCGCCCTAGTTGAGACGCATGCAAAAGCTCAGCATACGAGAACTAACCTAGTCACCCAACAATGAGATGCTTTCACAGAAGGAAGGCGCCTTCCCCTCGCAGCCAGAAGAAACACACCAGCAGCGCACTGGCTTGTGTTATTCCCCAGCAAACGAACGCCGCGGACGTAAGCAGCCGCCACAGCCACTGGGCCCAGCAAGAGCACCCAACATGTCATCCTTCACAATATTGTTGAGATGACATCACCTTCCCAACCTTTAGTTTCAAAAGCTCCCAAATGATCACCTGAATGGGCCCCGGGCCCGATTGAGAGCTACTCAAACGCCTGGCTTCCAAATATACTGTATATTTATACACTAATATGTGTACATGTCATATATGAATCAAATGTTGCCCTTCGTATCTCCTCCCAACTTCACCCTCTGTCCGCCTTGGGCTCTGGGTCGAAGAGCGCACAGGGCCTGGCCCGCTAGTGTGTCTGGAGCCCAGCAATCGCATGAAAACAGGTTCCAAGACCCGCGGTCCAATCGCCAACAATGTAGCGTCCGAAGAAACTTGGTTCGGTTGTATGCACATTTGCCTGTGCCATGGTAGAATTTGATAGAACGCGCAAGGACCCTGTTACTGTTAGGGCCTTACACATGATGGACGTGCTCTTTGGCCTGGATGGATGGCATTGCTTGGTTTGCAGGGATCCATTGTTCATGTTCTAAACCGCTAGCATGTTCTAAACCGCTAGCCAAAGGGCATGTTTTGAATCACTGGAATGGAAATACTTCGAAGAGCTCCCTAAACTCGCCCAGGCTGGTGGTGTATTTCGGGCCGTTGCATCAGGGGCATACCCTGATTGCCAGGCCACCAAAATGTTTAAACCAAATTCCAGGGGAGTGTGGTCAAACTTATACCGGACCTCCCCAGAGTGACCTCTTGTGCCAGCTGGCTCGTGCTGGGCAACCGCCTTTTCCACCATGCATGCGTCGAACATCACCTTTCGACCCCTCCCTCGCAATTGCCGGGGACCATGACAGTTTCTGAAGTTGCCAATGAGGCTCCACAAGTCCTGATCTACTTGGGGAGACGAGGCTCAATGTTAGCCAGAAACCACTCCTCAGCCCACTTGGGATGATTTGCAACATGAGGCGAGCGCCTTGCTGGCGCGCAAAAAACCACTTGCATTGATACCTAAGGCACAAATGAAATTGCGATATCGACCTGGGCTGCCCAGTCCCGATTGAAGCACACAAACCTCTTTCAAGCTTGGACTTTGAGCCACTCCAGATATATCACCACTGTGCTTGTCAGCTCCTAATCTGGTATTCTAAGCTGGGCATCTTGCGAATCAGTCCAGGGATGATTGTTTAGTCTCACGAAGCACTGGGCAGCCCATGGCACACAAAATTGCCGCTGCACGACAGCCAAAACCAAGTCGGAAGGTGGCACATCAGACTGTTCGAGCCACCCATGCATAGGCTGGGCTACATTTGACTCACCGGAGCCTCGGAAACCATGCAAACAAGTCGAGCATGTTTTGCGGAGACGGACCAGGACAAACGAGCATTGCCTGAATTCGGGCATCGCTCATGCCCAGCAATGCGTCTAGGCTACTAAGTGGCAACATAGCCAATGAACCCCCTAACAGCAGAAACCACAACCTGAATCATTGAAGTCGAACACCGTCGCGACAGCAAACAGCTAGGTATCCCGTGAACCATGTCTGAACGTGCACTTGAGAGTATATGACCCATTGCTGACAAGGCTGTGCTAAGAATCCAACCAAACATGGCTGTGAACCCGTTGGTATCTTTTGCAAGGACTGAACAAGTCTGTGATTCGGACTCTTCAGATCTCTCGGTTTCAAGAAAGGCCAGTGGCAATGCCAACGATCCGGGGACTCGCATAACCCCACGAGCCTAGGAGCGTCATTCTCCCCAATTGAATCTAATCAAACCTGCATTGAAGTGGCTTACCCCAAAACCATGCAATGAACTAAAAGGGCAGCCGCACCTATTGATGGTTGGGATTGGCCTTCATCTTCCCGGGTTTTGATTGAGTCGTCGATCACAGTGACAGAGAAGGGCAGTTCTCTCCGCAATCTACTGCTCCATATACAGGTTTTGCTTTGAGTCTCTTGCAATGACGCACATCTATTGGCGCAAGCCCTCTTGCTATTTTGGATTGGTTGACTTGCACTGGGCGGCTGGCCAACCCGGCACATGGGCAATGCTGCGATTGTGGTGAATGACCATGGTTCTTCTCCCTGACCCCAAGTAGTGGGAAGATTTGACCACAATACGTTGCAAATGCCGGCCAATGAACTAGCTGAAGTGCAACTTTGGTTTTGCCAAAAATGATTGGAGTTCGGCCTTCTAGCAGGGAAGCTTCCCACGATCAACAAGAAAGGTGGACTATGATTCACTATGCACCTTCACCGGAGTGCAGACATTGCCATTCCATGCCACTCGAAAATACATGGCAATAAGAGCCACCTGCCAAGAACGATGGATTCAAGCTGCCTTTCAACACTTCTCGTCAAGGTAGCCAGACGCCTATGTTGAGCTGATCCAAAGCCGAGCAAAGTTATTGAATTACCAGAGTCGACGACAAACATCGTGCTCAATGGAATGCTGCACCTCGACTTCGGCCTTAGGTACGATACGTCCTTGCTTGCCCAGTGGCGATGGGAAAAACAATGGATGGGTGTGTCCTTTTTTGACGGTAATATTGTATCATTGTTGTGTGGTTTTTCTGGGAACTCAACAGGATGACCACCGTTTGTTGTGGGTCCTAATAAAAGACACACCCACTTTTGTTTTGCCCAAAGGAAAGTCTGGCCAGCCACAAAAAGGATTAGGTCCACACAGTACAAACAAGTGATTAGACCGGTGCACCAGTTCCATCGGCAGAAGTCAGCAATGTCAAAATTCCGAAATGAGGAGTCAGCCTACTCGCCTCGTCCTGATGTGCTGAGCATGCCGGCAATGGCTAAAAACAAGAGGGGACAAAACAATGATAAGTTGAAGCATTTGAGCATTGCAAACGGCTGCAAAGCTCATAAAGCGACGCTAATTGGAAACTATTTCAATTGTAATCCGCTCCCCCAATTAATGAGTGACCCCAATTAATAATAAATGCAAATCCGGGGCCCGGGACCAGATTTCCACTCCACACAATTGATTTTCCATTGCGCCAATACTAAACCAATACTAACGTCTTGGAATCCTTATTAGGGGGCACTTTTGGCAAGCTTCCAGCCTCACTTTTCAACAGGTGGGTTCCTCAATTCCCCAAAAGGTTGCTTTCCCAAAAGCTGGCTTCTCAAAATGTTGGGTTCTTTTGGTGGGTTCCCAAAAAGGTGGGTTCCCAAAATGCTGTCTGGTCTGAGTTTTCTGCCTGCCTGTGCCCTGCTGGCTGACTGCTGGCTGCCTTCCTAATTATCACTGAATGCATGTCTGGCTGTCTTGAAACTCACACTGCCTTCTCGAGCACTGGACTGTCTCGCAGTCAATCACAAGCTGGCTACCTGACCTGCCTGGCTGCACCCCAAATGTGTGTTTTTTTTTAATTGGGTCCTTTAATTATTGGGGTGTCCCTCAAAAGAAAACATGTCGCCAAAAGCTGTCTTCTAGCTGCGAATCTCTCTCTCCCGTACATGCTGGCTAATTAACCTGTCTGGCTGCAAACAAACAACCAGTAAACTGGTAAACAAATAAAATGATGCATCAAATTTCCTTATTGAACCGCTTACTCGCGGACTTTACAATTCAATCCATTTCATCCAAATCCTACGTGAACCCTCACATTGTTGGAAAAGCAAAAAAAACAACCCCAAAAACCCCAATTTTAAAAAAAATGGGGGGATTTATTTATAATAGGGGGGGGGGCCGTATTTATTAATAGGGGGAAGAGATTACACATGACACGTTGCCGTCTTTGTTAGCTTCAACAAACATCATCCAAGGTCCTACAGTCGGGTCATAACGTAAATTTACCCAAGACGTGCTCATCTTGGCTAGATTCAGACAGGAGATTCTGAGATAGTGAACATAATAATGCTACCCGCAGCAAAAATCACTCTCCATGAAACAACGCGACTCCCATGGGCCAACCCTGGGACTGAGAAGTCCAATGGCGTGCAAAGAGCACAGCCTGCTCATTTGACCTAGGACAAGGCCAGCACATCAAGAGCCGGCATCGCCGAGGAAGTGACATCAAAAAGCAAGCAGAAACCAGGTGGTCCTGGACTGGTTGTAAAGGTTGATTAGGCCCGCGTTGCCACACTGAAACCATATCGCAAGCTTCAAGCCTATGTCGCACTGTGCATCGTACACATGTATCGTTTCAACAAGCCTGTATAGATATCACACCGGGTCAAAGACCAACAACCCACTACATATCCAGCGCAACAGCAACAAGGAACAATAAACAACAACAACGACAACAACAACAAACAGCAACAACGACAACGACAACGACGACCACGACCACGACCACGACCACGACGACGACGACGACGACGACCAACAACAACAACAACAACAACAACAACAACAACAACAACAACAACAACAACAACAACAACAACAACAACAACAACAACAACAACAACAACAACAACAACAACAACAACAACAACAACAACAACAACAACAACAACAACAACAACAACAACAACAACAACAACAACAACAACAACAACAACAACAACAACAACAACAACAACAACAACAACAACAACAACAACAACAACAACAACAACAACAACAACAACAACCAACAACAACAACCAACAACAACAACAACAACCAACAACCAACAACAACAACAACAACAACAACAACAACAACAACAACAACAACAACAACAACAACAACAACAACAACAACAACAACAACAACAACAACAACAACAACAACAACAACAACAACAACAACAACAACAACAACAACAACAACAACAACAACAACAACAACAACAACAACAACAACAACAACAACAACAACAACAACAACAACCAACAACCAACAACCAACAACCAACAACCAACAACCAACAACCAACAACCAACAACCAACAACCAACAACCAACAACCACAACCACAACAGCAACATCAACAACAACAACAACAACAACAACAACAACAACAACAACAACAACAACAACAGCAACAACAACAACAACAACAACCACAATTTCAAAAACAACAACAACACCACCAACAACAACAACAACAACAACAACAACAACAACAACAACAACAACAGCAGCAGCAACAACAACAACAACAACAACAACAACAGCAACAGCAACAATAGCAACAGCAACAACAACAGCAACATCAACAACCACAACCACAACCACAAATTCAATTTCAATTTCAACAACAACAACGACAACGACAACGACAACGACAACAACAACAATAGCAACAGCAACAGCAGCAGCAACAACAACAACAGCAAC